TCTTCTTGCGAGTATTGATAAGTCAGATAAAGGTACAATCAGTGACCGCTTACAAAATTTATGCATTACGTGTGATTTCGAGTCGTCGGCGATATAATCTACACATGGCGTATTATAAAATATGCATTTGATAATTTAGATAAAGTGTGACGACGAATACAGAGTTACAGACCATTTGAAGAGGATGTTGGACCTAATTAACTATTCCGCCGTCGAAATAGACAAACCAAAAGGGCCACCGGGGACTGACTATCTTCAATAATGTTATCCGAACACAGTATTCGAACAATTTTAATCCATATAATTTTAACAATTCCGCTCTTTTCTGGCGTCAGTTTGTCTCATAATTATCGTATTTTGAATATGAACGTTTCATCGAAGACATTCCATACTTTATGTCACATTTCGGATGCTTTCTTATGCAGTATTTACAGTAAACAAGGTTTTTCATAGATCTTTCAGTCGCCCATTCATAAAAAATTGATGGATTTCAACGCTTTAGTAACCGTTCCGAGATAATATGATGCCGTGGGCTGAGTTTCCTTATGACGTAACAATTGACTTGTCGCTAATGTTATGATAACCGCAAAACTTACTGAATTAAGTTGTATACATAGCCACTTAGTACAGTTACATCGAGAATCGAGGCAAATAAAATAAATGCTAAACAGAAAGAAAATTACCTCGAAATAGTGGGATATAGTGAATACTTCAATCATTTAAACTGAAACTGAATAAGAAATCGATTCATAGGTTTTGATATGAAATTGTTTTACTGTCGTCCGCATGTCTTATAAAAATTGCTTGAACGTTGTAGTATTTGGAAAAATAGGAATCGGATAAGCATTACACGTGCTAATGCTGACTGATTTGTTTTAGTGTTCCTTGCTATCGAATATTATAAATCGGCATGGTTTCCTTTTCGGCTATTCAAGCTCGCGGAACCCTAACGAGAGTTATTTTCATTATCTGAGTTATTTTCTTTGTGCCTCGTATTTATTAATCGTATGAAATACAATGAATATGGCCGGTCGAATTCATAAACACGATACATATTCATTTTTTCCGCTTAGGTTGGTTTAAATGACGCGGCTAGGCTTTCAAGATTGCCAAAAGTCCTTTGAGCGTAAATACCGTAACCTTCCACATTTGCAAAATATGTTTTCAACTAATGTTTTGAGGTTCCAGTGGTCCACGCCTTTTTAAATTCCATGTGTAGTTTTCTAGATTACGCCCCGCCATATACGACAACAGTAAATATACTTGTTTATTTGGAAATTAGGAAATCAAAACATCGCCTCGTGACATTTTTTAAATTCTTTGACGCGGAATAGCTTTCGTATTATGACTCGTAATTTTTTTTTTAAATATTTTGACTAAGCGTCAAAGGGTTTTCCTATTACTATCAAAAGACTACAACTTAGAGTCGCATCCTTGTAGCATATCAACAAACTAGTTGAACTAATATGACTGTGTTACAAGGGATTCAATTTAGCATTCTAAACAACTTTATTAAAACTCCATTTAGTCCGCGAAGCGTTGTATTGGTAGCCAAACGGCCACAGTTCACAACACGAAAAACCGGCGCTCCAGAAGTATGTGTACCAATATGGAGGTAACTAATTTTGTTCGTCTACTTTACATCAAGTTGTGTAAAGAGACGGAAACCTATGGGCAGGGGGTATATTCACTTAGCTAACACAAACAGTCCCCGAACTCGTAGTAGAACTAGATTAAGAAAAATCGGAATAAAATTATGGCCTAACCCTAACCTGGTACACATACTACGGGAGTACCGAAAAACCGATATGCTTCATAATCACAACACGAAAACCCGATATTTTTCCTAATACTGGCAGAGGGTATTTGTTAAAATATCCAAGTTCTATAATATGAAGTCCATAATTTACGAGCTTAGTGGATGGTCAGACTTATTCGTTTAATCATTGAATACATAATGCCGCTAGCGAATTTCTTGGAATAGGGATGGATACGTGGTTCCAATCGCTTTTTAAACGTATACCTACTTATTAATTAATCCAGAATATAGAATACACACAAGCTATTACGCAATGAAGAATATCGGCGCAAGTCAGTGAAATCGAATGCCGGTCCTTAGAAATTGAAACCTCTTTGGGCGGTGTTTTAAGATTCAACAAAAGAGTATGTTCAATCATGTACTGCGCAGATGATAATCTGAGTTTGTATTTGTATGTGATCATATCTGATTGAGCATGGTTTGAAAAAAAGGCGGTATTTTGGAAATAACAAGTGACATCAACACCCGCCATTGTATAGTTATCAACCGATGAAAGGCTCTTGTACGAGTTAGATTTTTCTTTCGTCGCTCGTTATTCATTTCTTAAGAACTATGATTTCAAATGACGTCAAAAGTTCTAAGCAGAAGAAAATGGACGAGAATTTTATATTGGTAATTTAAATCAACAATAGATAAGAAGAAATAACATTTGCGTCATTTCCGGTTTTCAGCCAATGAAAATGTGGCAACTTGTTAATTATTTGTTTTCATCCAAAAGACAAGGGTAGCTTAAACATCTTTAAAATACCTTTTAGTAATACTGCCCTCTCAAATTTTACTTTGTCCGGGTCGAGTAATATGCTAAAACAAATATACGATATTAGCATAGTTGAACAAGAACACGTTTTTCTTTGTTCTATATAGATTTGAAAAATAAATATATATAAGAAAAATGATGGCGATTGATGTATAACTTTTCTTGGCAGAGCTTTTAAATTCATGACATTTCTTTGAAAAAAAAATTTGAAAATATTGTTCATCTCACTTAATTCAAACTACATCCTGTATAGTAATCAGTAAGCAAATCAACCTGACCATTCAACACAAATATCTATAACTTACAGGATAATATTTTTCCAGAAAATCAACGTTAGAATTCCCATCATTGTTGTTTGTGGCTACAAAACGGAGTGCCGTTATCTTAAATATCACCCGAAACAGGACAATAGTATAGAAAAGGTCATAGAGTACACAACCGTAATCTCATACCGGCGGTTAGCGATACGCCTAGACTGGCGGGCCATGTAAGTGTGGCGTAAAAAGTTACATAATATGAACAATATTTACTGTGTTACAAAAGCAAATGTGGAAAACAATAAGCCCCTGGCCAAATATGAATTTATTCGCAATCCCAACAAATTCCTTGAGCTATTTTTAGCAAAACATCCAAATTTGATTTTAGTTTGTTTGCGCAGCATCAGGTGGGCCAGATTGAATTACCCAACTGGCCGGATTTGGCCCGCGGGCCGTAATTTGCTCATGTCAATGATACATCGTTTTATCTTGTTCATAAATTGGAATACATTTTCTACAAAAGAGTATTTCTGTAACATGAGATATAAATACTTTGGATTTGAAAGTGAGTATGAAACTACGTTAATAATCTACTTCTTGGATATTGAACAAATTTAAGCTTTATCACATGAGCATTATTCGTCGTCAATGATAATTTGTTTATCTATTTTTATTTACCTACTTTGATTGATTTGATATTTATACTTGCTAGTACATACATTGGTGATTCATTCCTTAAGTTTGCACGCAGGCATAGTTATAAACACCCAAATAACTAAATTTACATTGAATTTCTCACCACCTCAACAACGGTTTACGATCGGCTCTTCGCATTACACGATATCCAGCAGCTCTGCGCGTTTACAAGACGCCATTATAATTTACGCAAATCGTTTTGTTTGCGTTTCCATTGACGGTATTGTTTGCCTTCGAAGAACGACATCGCGTACTATATTTCCACAAAGGCGCCCGAGTTCTTCAGGCTCGCAATGTTGTTGTTGCGCAAATAAAATATCGCTCGTCAGTTCGTCGAAATAAGCCTCGATTGCGATAAACCTGCTTGTCCAAAAGTATTAGTTTTCTTGAGATAATATGCCTGTATACCCCAGACTTTTGTCAATGGACGTCATTAGCTGGGAATGAATAAGAGTATTCATAGCGTACCGTACCCATAAAAAGATCAGATAGTATTGTTGCATGCAGATGTCCCTACAAACAAAATTAAAAGAGAAATTACAAAAATATTGTAAAATTTCAACACCATTACCCACACATTTGGGGATTAAAATTTCGAATTAATCTGAAAAATAGACTAAATATATCCCTAAACTCGCCGAAATCGTGACATTGCTTGATTGGCATCCAAACCCCTTCTGTGGTTCACCTCAAAGCAATCTCTTGTAACTAACTGACAGTTAGCAATGTCGCTAATTGACTGAGGAATGCAACCACAAATCCCAAGGGATGATAATTTCCCGCGCCGCACGCGAGTTTGTGTGACTTCCGTATATTAGATTAGATTTTTTTTTCGAGCTCGGTGTTGTCACTTGGGTCATTACGATGGTGACAAGGGTCAAATTGTGGCGCCAAGGAGGTAAGGTTAGTTATTCCTGATTGGTCTCGACCCTCGACCAAATTCCGACTTGATGATACGCGTACTCGTTTTGGATATATCAAGGATATGGAATTGGATAAAGAAGATTGTATTATAGATTAAAATAGAGAAGCCCCAGACAATTGAAAAATTACTGTAATATAGCTTTTCGCACCCCCCCCCCCCAAAAAAAAAAAACATCTATATATCATATTTGTGCCTATCGTGACGGGACTGTTTTGCACTTGTATTATAAATATTCATTGTCTACGCCGCCAATAGATTGCTCCCGAGTATATTTCCAACCAGAAAAGCTTTTCCTATACTATACTTATACTATTCCTAAATAACCATTTTGAGTTTTCGCGAGTTGTGCTGCCAATTGTTATGCTACTGTTCACATCTTGCTGATTCGCTAATGTTACGGAAGAGATCAAGGAAGTAGATATCCATTGAATACAACCCATACTCGTGTACCTAATCGTATTTGCAAGATATTTAATTTATTGATTCAAACGTGCAAAATTACAGTAACTGCACTGCGAAGAGCGCTTATAAAATATAGAATAAAAACAAGTGGTCATCATAAAGAAATATGAAATAGAAAATTCGGAAATTCAAAATAACATTTGGCAAAAAGAACATGCCGTAATATTCAAGTTTGAGAAAAAATTATAAAAAAAATGGAAATTTACAGAAAATATGTATTTTTGCTATATTATGATTTCGATCCATCTTATAACGACGAATAGGGAATCAGAAATAAAAATCCATGCTTAAACGCAGGCATATTGTAAGGTACAGTGTACACAAGCATTGCATTTATCGGGATATTTCATCCAATATATAATGAAGAACCTTTTAGTTAAAATACTATGGTAAATCATTCGTTCATGCAATTACTGTCGGTAAATACAACGCATTCGAAATTTTAGGCCCAGGAGAACGTTAAAAAATAAGAAATTCTGGCAAATGTAAAAAATACATACTGCAGTTGACGGTATATCAAAAATCATACTAGGTTATAGAAAGATCGTTTTACCGTTTTTAACCTACTGAAGTACAAGCATAAAGAGCTGGGCACAGCGCCAAATTGAATGGGGTAGCGGTACAGAAATGTCAGACAATATTTCAACGAGGAATCAGAATTTCTGTCAGATATTGACAGAAAGTTGATAAAAAGTTGATTAAAACTTTCACTTAGGCAATTTTCAGAAGCACTTCAGTATTATCATAGACATAAACCTGTCCATGCTTGGGTCTAATTATAAATAGGAACGAATAGTTTTGTTCTATATACACCCCATGCATGACGGAGATGTTAAAATAATGAAGAATAATTATTTGACAGACAGTGAAATTTTGTTGAAGGCAACTTTTTGAAATATTAATAATAGAAAAGGTTCCTGAGAAAATATTCAAGATGCTGTTATATTGGCACAAATTTTAATTGACGAAAGTTATATGTAAGCTGAATAGTGTAAGAAAAAGAATGGCGTCTATATCCTCGCAAGATAGTGTTTGATTCAGAATCCTGTGTAAAGAGGCCCATATCTAGAATTCTGTGTCATTAATTAGGATTTCATACTATTACTAGCAAATTCATGGTAAATTTACCATATAAAATTGCAAAATGTGATAATTATTTTAAAAAAGATGGTACATTTAATCATTTGGATTCTTAAAAACACCTTTAAATATTATTTGAATTTTTCTAAAATTAAATTTTCTCAACACCATTAAATTTGACACCTATACGGACAACAATAAAAAAGATTGCTCTTGAGAATAAATGAACGCCATACAGGCAAATCGTGAACATCAATAAAAAATGATGCTTTAGGAAAAAGCACATACATAAAGCACATACACATATATAACAATGTGAGCTTCAGATTATAAAATGATGGTGGCACATTAAACTATATGAAGAATTGAAGATACAACAAATCAAAAATATGCAATGAAAAATATACCTCAAACCTAGTTATAGATATAATGAAGGCTTTATCATTTGCAACCACAAATATATTTTAGCAATGGGGAGATGAGGTACTGACGGTATCTGCATAACTTTTTTTCATATATTGAACCAATAATATAAGAAGCACCAAATTGTAATTAATTAATACAACATATTATAAAGATAACATATATGGCTTGTATTTATTTTAATATGACTGGGATCGACTAAAAATAGCTCAATGGTGTGTGTGAGACGATTGAGGTATTAGATGACCAGGCATGGTTTGGATAACAACAAGGACAAAAAAATGGAAATTAATTTTTGACTCGGTTGTGGTAGATAGTCAAACACTATCGTGAAAAAAAGCAAAAATATTACTGCAGTGAGACTTATAGTAACAACCCAAAAATTCAGGTAAAAAAATTTAATATAATTTACCAAGTGTGATGGATAGAGGCAGTTAATGAGATATACTTTACCAGAACCTTACAATTCCCTGAAAGAGAACTCAATAATAATCCTGATAATACGATTTCAGATTATTTCATCTAAAAAAAATTCCACAAACGTGTTTTTTAAGTGGCATTTTAACCTTACACAGATTAGCTTTTAAACTCCAAAGTTACATGACAAAATTAGCTAATCTTGCAGATTGTTATTGACTTGCTTAAGAAGTGGGAAACATAATCAAGGAACCCAATTATATCTTCCATTTACCTGTTGCATATCACCTTCATTAACAGGTATGGGGAATGCCAGACATGGAGTCAATTACTGCTAACAATGGCCACACGTTTGGCATAGAAAAACTAACTAACATATATACCATTCTTTCTCCACACATGAAATAATGATACACCATATATAAAATGTATCAAAGAATAACGATAAAAGGTTTGAACGAATTAGACAGAACTTGAAAGGCAAATACAAGTTGACATACATAAAAATGAAATGAAGATATAATAGGTCACTTTGGAACAATTGCATAACATTGTTATTTTCAATTTACAGCTATAACGCTGCAATATTATACAAAGTATATTATATTAGAAAAACATAAATGAGGTTTTCGTTGTTTCTTATAAATGATGAAAAAATCTAGGTGTAATCGTTAGATCCTATCTTAGAGCACTACTACCCATTATAATTAAAATTTAGGGCAAATTCCAGTCTGTAAATTTACTATCAGATAAGTGTCGATCAAGTATGAATTGCTCATATAATAAGCCAAAATCCTTGGCCCTGTTTAATTTTATGCACAATGAATCTGCAACTGGTCCCAGTAGGAAATAATGCATTCAATTCGTGGGTAAAATAATTAGCAGAAGCACATCGTTAATAAACTAACAGTATTTTTATTTGAAGATTCGGAAGAACATTCATAATACACAATAAAACTTGGATTAAATTCCAATATAATACTCAAAAATGGGCTGTGAAAAATTGGTTCAGAATTGACTCAACATGCAAGGATACTTCATACTTGGCCTGACTAGATAACAATAAACAGAATGGAATATCACCTAGATTATCTGTGAGTCATGCTTCCGTGAATATAAAAAAAAAGGAGCGCCATGTATATATGAAAGACTTTTCACCTGTTTTCTTTGTACAAAACTGGTTCATTTTTTTCCCAGTTAAAATTAATGCCAGTCATTTTATAAAGCTCTGTATTGGAAGGTCTATAAAAATCATATAACATTGATGATGCTCGTGTTGGTATAACAGGATGGGGTCGTCCCTTCTTTATACCCAAGCAATGTGGTGTCCCACTTGCCTCTCGCTTTTTCAAACAAGGAAACCCTTTTGATGAATTAAAATAAAAATGCTCTTCATTGATAACTTGCTTGATTTCAAGAAAGTCTTGTAATTTTTTCATTTCAACTGCAGGTTGAGTAACCTAAAATTGACGATTTTTATACAATAAATATATAAATACAAAACATCAAGAATAAATGGCCAAAAAAGTACAGGATAAATATCAGAGTAATGAGGATTGAAAATTTGAGTAAAAGTATCACATTGTTTATCTGAAATTATTAAAAAGAGATTTGATAATTCGAGGGATTCAATCCGAAATCCACTCTGAATATGATTTTAACTTGATATATATAATGGCAGTGGGGAATATAATGTTGGAATTATATTTTCAACATATCTATTTTCTGGTGACCAGAGCTAACATAAAACCTAAGAATAAAAACGAAATATCTTACTTACCATAGTTTCACCATTTATGAAGCAAAACTGCCGCAGAGGAAAATATTCCAGCCACATTTTTAAATGTTTGCTATATAATCCTGTTTTAATATTTGGTTTTGAACTGTTTACGATCAGTGTATGATTGGCCTCCATAAAAACTGAATCTTCAAATGAGTGACGCCTTCGATGCTGTCAAAAAATGTAAAAGTAAAATACCTATCACAAACTTATAAAACAAGCATGTTTACACATCTGCAAAATTTTTGAATTGAAAGATTTAAATAATAGGATTCGAAAATAGAGATATCCAATAAATTACTTTTGAAATTTGATAGTTATACAACACATACAATAGCTTTAGATTTTTATTTTTAATAATAGTTTGTTTATCTGAAGCATAGGCCTAATGAAAGTAGAAAAAATAAGTTGCATGATAAAAATTACGAAACCGGCTGAAACAATAATATACTTTGCATATCCATTTTTGTAGGGGGTCATAATTTTTAAATTTAAGACACAACTTCGAGGTTAGAGATTCAAAGTTATTGCATAGTTTTATCCAGACCACATTTCTTAAAATTGCCATATTTTTTAAATTGAGCTTCTTATCCAAATTATAAAAAATTTTCCGCACAACAATAATCCTCGACTTACATACCTTCATGAACGATTGTGTAAAATCTGATACGGCTCGATCGACAGGATCTTTCAATACTACTATCAATTTCATTGATGGATTCATATCGTAAACACGTTTAGGAGCCTCAGGAGTGACAAGATAACTTGGTGTTTTTTCTATGGTGATTTGACTCTTTATTGAGGTAGGCATCATGTCTCTGTATGTTAAGGAAAAAATAAATTGTAGACAATTTATCAAAATTTCATCATAAAGACAGACTTTAAATATCAAACAAGAATAACAGCTTCTAAAAAAAACTTCAAATTTTTGTGCATGTAACGTTAAGTTAGTGAGTGAGGTACAAGGCTAGCTTAGAGATTTGTATTTATACTTTTTGAAAAGTTAATAATATGGCACCATTTGACAACAGCTGCCATTCTTCCTGGCTCCACCACCATAATCAACAAATTGCAATCACTTTTTTTATTTCAAACATCGTACAACGACAATACGACATTGCCTTAATGGTCATTTAATTATGGAACAAATTGGACTTTTTATTTACAAAAACTACACAAATGCGATTCTCTTTATCATATCAAGTATGGCAAATAATATCTATATGTCTCACCTGTACCAGTCCAATCCCTCTGAAAAATTCTTATCGAAGTAATGTATCTCGGACCCCGCGGCACGAACATTCGGGTGCACCCGTATAAACTCCAGTAAAGCCCGCGTACCAGCTTTTTTAGCGCCGATGATCAACGCAGACGGCAACTTTTTTGTTCCCTTATATTTTACATCGTTCATTATACCAGGTGGATGATCACTTTCTGAGTTACTTGCATACCATGAAATTGAGCCGAAACGATCAAAAATCCTAAAGTGGCCTTTTCCAGTGGTCGACGAAATTATGCTTTGACAAAAATGTGAGTGCGACGATAATGTTACAAAAATGAGAAATCCTGTCAAACTCAAGACAAATAAAATCAAACACCGACGCCGAAATCTCCTTCGAGATTTTGACAACATATTTTCCAAGTTGTGATCTTGTACGGCAACATTTAGTTGATATCGCGGTAACTTTGTCGTGTTTGATGCAAACATTCGGGTTTTAAGGTATATAATATACTGATCCAAAAATTACCAATCATAAAAACAGTCGCCTGTGAAAATACAATAATTATTTAATATATCACGACAATCATGAATAATACTAGGATATGCAGCGGTGCCGATGAGTAAAACAAGCTTAAACTAGTCGATTTTTATAAAACTGTATTTGGCGAGGATGGGCTCTTCATTGCTTCATGAACAAAATCCCAACACAACACGAAGGTGTGGACACAAGAACTAACCTGCATAGTATCGTACCGAATCCCATCCAAAGTACCGTAACTAAGATAATTTGTTTCAAACTTCGAACCATGGCACAAAAAAATACAATACACAAAACGGAAATTAAGGAAAGTTTATAATAAAAACGTACGTAGTCTTTGGGGAAGACGACTAATATCCCAGGACGCATCGTAATAATCTGTAATAGTATTTGTTAGATACCCGCTAAAGGTATGACCTAAAATGTCGACCTCGAGCTAATAACCCACGAATTTAAAGTCGAACGAGTGCCGCCAACTGCTTTCACGCTCGAAAACCGACTATATTTGTCCGCCGATCGTACGAGAGTCGCGAGAAAAACAAAAACAGAATTTGCGCTTTCACCAAAATAACAATAAAATTCAATCGTGCTTACGTCTCTCGCTCAATCATTATGCACGTGCACAACCACAACAAACAATAACACGCAGTTGGTGTGGCTCCATACTCCCAGCTGGCGATCATTTTGTTGAGTGCTTGGGAGCAGTGATTTCCCTACACCCCCCCTATGGACCTTTCCCCGAGCATCGACTTCCTTGTTTACTTCGTGACATTGGCCAATCAGCAAGATGCAAAAAGTGACGTAACAATGCCCCTTTTCGCATCCGCTCAGACACTTTTCTCACTCAGACAGATTTTCAAGCGTGATTGTAAACATTACCTCGTTTTCGCGTTTCTAAACTCTATTCGTTAGTTTTCAGTTGTGTTTTGGGAACTTAAATAAAAATCAGATAATTCAATGATCACTCTGTCTTTCTAGAAGTTTTAATTTAATTGCAGTAATAAAAATTAGTGTAGAAATAGCTGGGATAGACTAGCCTGAAATTCTTTACCGGTACTTTTAAAAAACAGATTGTTGTATGCGATGAATCATAATGATGGTTTGAAACACATACCCCATTTTACAGACGCCAACTCGCAAAAGCACTCTTAAAATAGCCTTGACAATTTTGCAATGGTAAAGCATAGGGAGAATTTTCCGAGGGTCAAAGGTCGGGGAAAGGTCCATAGGGGGTGAACACCCCCCCTAAAATTTCAAACACCCCCCCTAATTTTGAGGTGCGATTCCACACTGAGGGGTTCTAAACCGCAGTCTGCGGGCCAATTACGGCCCGCGTGACCATTTAAAATGGCCCGCCGAACTTGAGTGAAATAGTTTAACCCTTCATGTGGTACCTTTTGAGTTTTAAATACCGTCTATTGTTACATCATTATCACAGTTTAAGCACGTTTATTTCGTAACAATTGAATTATTCCGGTATCTTATGTATAGGTATGGGTATTATGATTACACACTGCAGCAGGGTTGCCATATTGGCTTTTTTAACGCCAAATTTGCCATTTTTGGCTTTTTTCAAACGCGTTTGGCGTCAGAATTTCCGTTTGGCTTTTTGGCGTTTTTTTGGCTTTTTTCAAGTCTATTCTAGTGTCTATTATTAAAATCATATGAAATACAATATTTAGTGTGTAACAACTGAACAATGGCCGGGTCTATTACCTGTACCGTACTTAGCTACTTAACATCAGGATTTCCTGGAGCATCGATTTCCTTGTTTGTTACATTAACTCTTAACCATATCCAATAAGTGCAGTTTCTGCAGCTGCTCAGACAGATGTTCGAGCAGAGTTGTAAACATTGCCTCGTTTTTATAGTTTTGCGTGTTATTTGTCAGTTTACGTTCTGTTTCCAAAAAACTCAACCGGTATAAATAACTCAATTTTCATTATGCCTGATATGGTTTATTATGTGAGCTTTCAGCTTTAGTTTAATTCTGCAATTGCAGTAACGATGTGATTAACTACGCTAAAATTACTGAATTAGATATCAGTGGTCCACCCGTGAGCGGCAGGGTGTTAGATAATTTTTTAATAAAATTGATGGTTTATAAATTTTAAAAGTGAAAAAATTTTCAATAGTAAAGTACGATATAGGGAGCATTTTTTAAGGTGTAGCACAAGTTTAAGTAGAAACATATTGTAGGTATGTTACATACTGACATGACAGACTGAAGCGGCACCCTGTATTGTATATATTGAATTGTAAAATAATGCTGCCCGCTTGATATTTATTTTACTTTCTACAGTTCTATAGGAACTTCACTTTCTATTTGTGTGCCTCACTGAATGAACTGATGGCTCTACATCATCATCAGTACGTTGCCAAGGGCTTAAAATCTGACAAATCATGGGGCTTTTGTACTTAGTAAAATTGTTGGCTTTTTCTGGCTTTTTTATGTCTTGATTTGGCTTTTTTTTTATCGCTGGGGTCTGGCAACCCTGCACTGCAGTATTTTAGATATCAGCCGTATATTAAGAAAGCTTAAAGATGTCACAAGACGAAAACTAGGCACTGAAAACAGACGTTTTTTAGATGAATGACAGCGTTTTTATTTCTTTATTGAAAAGAATCAAACTTCAGCGATTTGTCTTCTTACCAACAAAATATTTCAGTTCTGAAGGAATACAACATTATGCGACATCAGTTGACGAGCGTATTTCAAAATTTAATTCATACAAAAGTCAAACAAACATGTTCAAAAAAATTAGAAATGTGTAACAAAACTAGCCATAAGTAGCCATTCATACAATGACAGATGAGCAAGTAACTTCATTAGTCACTATCATTTGCAAATTACTTGTTGAAACGTAGTAGTATATATTTACGGTTGAAAGCCGAGCGCTTGTTATCTATTCCCCGGGAATTCTATCAGCTAAATATTATAATTATTGATTTTATTACATAACAAACTGCGATGCTAGGTGTATCCAAAATCAAGCTTAGAGCCTATTTTGGTGCCTATTTCTCAAATTTTTCTCAGGGCGCTTAAGCGCGCCCTGAACCCCAGCCGTGTCGTCCCGCACTTTTCTTCGCTCCCCTTTTCTGGCCCTACAATTTCATTCTGCTGTGGATTTTGCCTCGCCGTCAATCAGCTTGGGGGGGGGGCTCCCATGTACATCGTCTCTTAAATACATACCATTTTTTTTAAGAATACAAATAGCCTAGTTTTATCTCTGATAGCAAATTATTTACCACCTCCTAAATTTTGAAACTCCCCCCCTAAAGAGAAAAGCTGGGGAACATACTGCTTGGGAGGGAGATCTAATTCTAACATTTGACGACAAATACATTTTCGATAGAACCACGAAGGTTGATTTTTGATAAACTTTTATATCAACTGTAAACGGCACATATGTATAGTAGGCTACGCGATGAACCCAAAAACAGAACTCATAAATTTTTTAATTACTCCTGCGAAAGGGGGAAATATATATTTAATTTTGTTTGCACTTATTACTCTTATTTCATAAAATTTCAGAAATTTGGGGACACTTTGAACAACAGTTATGTCTCTCTAGACTCTAAAGCTGGGGTCTCAAACTCGCGGCCCGCGGGCCAATTGCGGCCCGCGAGATGATATTTTGTGGCCCCTGCCTTGGTATTAAAGTTAGTGCGGCCCGCAAGTCACTTAGATCAGTTAGCATGATTAATGCTTTCATTATAACAGCGTTTCCCAAACTGTGTTCCGCGGAACACTAATGTTACGCGAGCATCTCCCGAGTGTTGCGTGGAAAAGGAATCAAAAAAACATCTAAATTGGTCGCCATGGCGATCTGAGAATCATGAAGTTGTTGCCGAACTGACCGTTTAAGATCGCGTCACCGTCGACCTAGAGTGGACTAACTAAGTTAGGGTGGTGGCATTTTTGTTAACTGTCGGTTTAGCTTTTTGGCTGTCAATTTCATTATCAAATTTACAGTACGCCTTTTGGTTTTGTCGAAGACAAACAAGTAAGTCTAAAGAATAAAGGCAGAAGGTCAACCGTTCTTCCTCCATCTCTACCGGGTTTTACTTTCAAATGATGAAAGTTTGTCAATCAATTTCACCCTTTCATATTTTGGTGTTCCGCGAGGAGATATAAAAAGTGTTAAGTGCTCCGTGGCCGAAAAAGGGAAACTCTCACGTAGGGCAAAACAAAATATTTTATCATCTATCTACTGAAAGGAATATGGGGTGCGGTAACCTACCTGTACCATACCTGTAGGCCTGGTATTCGATTCGGGACCGTCTGAAATAATTTAAAAACAGTGTTCCATGATTTTTGACGTCACAATCACTACCTTGATACATTGTAACCATGTTTCTCATGTGGCGAAACATCACTGTCCATCGACTAAATGCTTGATTGAAACATCAGCGCAACAGTTATTACAAGATGGAATTTTATAATTTTGCACATCCTCAAACGTGTCGTTAGAAGTGAAGTTTCAGTAAACAGGAAGGTTGGTGATGAGCACAGACAATTTCAAATAACTGGGAAATGCAATATTTCTTTGTTGAGCATAGGAGCATCCCGACATGTTTTATCTGCACAGGTAAAGTTGCAGTGCACAAGGAATACAATTTAAACGAGTTGCTTTTATTGTGAAAAACCTGATGCGGCCCGGACTCATCCAGTCTGCCCCAGCGGCCCCCAAGTAAATTGAGTTTGAGACCCCTGCTCTAGAGTCTAGACTAGAGAGTTTACTCTAGAATAGGTTCAAATTGGCCCTCTCGGGGTTGGAGACAGACTTGCATCCGTTCAGCAAAATTGTCAATCACTCGCACGTAGAGGCGTAGCCAGGATTTTTAAAAATGAGGAGGGGTTGGGGGCAGTGGTGAGCTGGAAAAATCGTAGCAACCGGAACGCACTTAATTCGCAGAAATATAATATATTTACAACACGACGCGGACGTTTACAGGATGTTTTGACTGTCCTAAGATAATGTCGAAGAACTGCAATGAAATATGAAGAAATTATCTAAAATATGTCCATGTAGAATTACAAGAATATTCGTAGCAATTCAATGCAAATGTTGTTTTTAAAAAGGTATAGGATGAATTTCCATTGGGTCAAAGGTCGGGAAAATATCTATTACACGTTATTCTGTACTGTACTAAATATTTTCGTGATGTGATATAAAAAGAATTATGAATTATAATGTAACAAAACATAAATTAATCACTATTTTAACCAGAGAAACTGGCCTTTTTTTATCATAATTATATTTTAACAACCGGAACGCAAAAGCAATAAAATATCCAACAACCGGAACGCTGTTCCGGTGCGTTCCGACTACAGCTCACCACTGGGTGGGGGTACAAGAATCGCAATCGAAAATTCTCGTGCAACGCCTCCGAAAACAGTCCCGCGATGCGAGCATTTAAAATGTCTTGCCATATAATTTAATTGTGTTCATCGTAACTCGCCTTTGTATCGACTAACGATAAAATAAAGCACTACTATTCTAAATTTTTAAAATACTGCGTCTATCTGCGAACATAAAATACGCAATAGAGTGTTCGATTATAAATATATTGGATTCGGATTTTTACGACCTTGGGATTTGTCAACTCTGAGCTATTCTTTCGAAACTGACTTCCACTTCAGATTATTTTTCATTTATTCATTGCTGTTAGAAAAAATTCCAAGGTCTGCGTTTAAATTCCGAAGAGTACAATTTGCAATTGCGTCGACTAAAAATATAAAAGCATTACATCTCCGAAATGCCGCGGCCATAAAAATGTCTGGCAATGTGTACAATTATATCTTGTTTCGATTCGTATTTCCCGTGAATGGTAAAATTTTCAAAGTCAATATGGATTCGATTAGGCAATGTTTGGAAAAGGTTACCCATACCGTGCACTTCACTGGGTGCAATGGGCACTGTACGACCATCTTCGGAGGTGCTGTGACCTAGTAAGCATCTTGTGCTATCTTGGCAGCAGAATGTGCGCTTCGGCAAACATCAAGTAGGCTACTGGAAACGTCGTAGATACCTGAAACTTTTGGGTGCAATCATCGGCACTCCAGAAGTGTGTGTACCAATGTGGGTTGGCTACCCGAACTCGTAACAGAACTAAAATGAGAAAAATCGTAATAAAATGATGGCCTAACCCTAACCTGGTACACACACTACGGGAGTACCCAATCATACACAAACAGAAGTTCAAGTATAAAAAATAAAAAAAATTACTCCATTTTCATAAAAGTAATAAAAATTAATGCGCTCTGTTTCATTTGGGTCACCCTGTATTATATCTTTGTTTGTTTTGTGCCCAATATGGTCGCCTGTAAATTCGCCAATTAGGGCAATGAGTGGCCTATATAAATATATATTCTCATTTCTGTTTTGTACCACCCAGTCACAAAAAAATTCCCTCTGAAGGCAGTTCTTTGTTGAAACGCATTTTTATATTAAGTTTATTGTGCACAAATTGTTTGTATTTTAAAATTGATACCGGGCTTTGTTTTCTTTTTATTTGTCACACGGATCTTCAAAATAAACTATATCTATCGACTGAAAAATCATTTTGTAAATATACCTAAGACAATTCATATAGTATCCAGTAGATAGCGTGCAAGTGCGTATTATTTATAGATAAAACCGTATTTTGCAATCCTCGCGTTCTGTCATTTACAATTGTAATTATATACTATTTGTATTTTTAAACATTCATCGACGGTGGGAACACAGCAATAATCCGCTTATGAAATTTCAAGTTGCCCACAAATAACTGATAATCATTGCCACAATCCCAAACAAAATAATATCCAGAACCAGGTAAAATTTTGTGTGGCTTCCTATTGATTTTGTCATTCTTTTCTTTAGAGGAAATAGGATTCGATCATCTACTGTCATAATCGTCTTTCTTGCTTCCGACCATCTTCCAGGGCCTTCCAATCTGTACATCGAAGGTACGGCGGGTCCGAAATATACCTGCTTATGTAAAGTTTAAAATTATGAATTTTAAACGTGCCCTGTGGAAAAAAAAAAAAACTTTTCAAATTGCATTTCCAATAAATCCTGATTGTTTGAATATGGAATTACAAGCAACGTCATTGAAAGGGGTCGGACACGGTTAATAAATCGTGTGTGAAAGTATGACAAAAGTTGAAAAGATTCCGATATTGTGTATGGTAACAAAGTTACATAAGTTTGGTTATACATAAGTTTGGTTATATATATGTTGTTGTATCGAAAATTTTAGCAAACAAAATTTATGTATATAAGTATAGCTACTCTTCACATATTACCTTGAATGCAAGGTAAGGATCCGTAATAAAGTATTTTAGATATTTTGGTTTACATGATATAATATCAGCGATTTCATCCATGTACGGTTGATAGTTGACCTGAAATACATATATAGTAAAATTATTACTAAATTAAGTCGAACGATATATTTACATCCACGAATACAAAGATTTCATTTGTTTTTATATTAGAAAACTATATAAATACCAATGTTTCGTGTCGTTTGCTTTTGACATAATTGTTAGCTAATGCTTCCCTTATTTTTTGAATATCTTTTTTCATTTCTTCTTCACTTGGCATGCCAAGCTCCCCTGCAAATAAGAAGTACCACAATATGTTGATAGATTACTTATTTAATTCTTTCCAAGGCAACGAACATTCAATGCCACGATATATGAAGTTTTTTGAATGAAATAAGTTAAATTAATGATTAGATGATAAATTTTCAATTGTACCTAATAAATCATATTTAGACAGTTATAATGTCCAAAACCTAACCGTGCTCCAATAAAACACACTTCAAATTTTATATCGTGTCCAACATAGGTCGTATGATTTGTATGATTGATCGAATGTGACGATATCAAGTTCGCATTCAGCGTCGAAGTTCATAGAGCAAGTTTGAGTTTATTTTTTGTATCCAAGTTCACGTACAATACATTCACCTTTAAAAACTTTTGTTGTCCACCGACATTGAATTTCAGAGATTGGATTAACGGCACCAAGCGGTTGAATGGCACCAATAATTGCTAACGTATGCTTCTTAAGGTGTGGTGGCCAAACGTATTTGAACAAATCGCATCGATTTTCTTCGACCTGAAATAATTGGAAAAGCATTTGCAATTGGAAGATACTTAATTAGCAACAAATTTCGACTTGCTAATTGACAACTTTTCTTTATTTATTGAAAAATAGCCGACTTCTGAAGTGTGAACGTACCATCAGTAATATTTCAGGCCACATATTATATATACTTGAAAGTCATCAAAATTCATGGGTATAAGTATTATCTATTAATCGGCAGTCTTTTTGCAAATGCCTTTATATATAGAAGGAAAGACAAATAGGTTTTCACAAATTAATTATATGTGTTGATTGAATTATGTAAAGATTTTTTTTTAAAATACTCAAATGCAATTTTACATAGATCATCACAACACCTATCCCGCACTCATCTTCTTTGTGCGTTACCTGTAAAATTGATTTCAGAAATGGATACTCAACAGAGTAACCAGTAGCAAATATTGCAGCATCGATATTTTCTTCTGTTCCATCTTCGAAAATTACACTGTTTTTCGTGAATTCCGCAATATTTGATCTGACTTGTATGCTTCCCGTGCTCATACGGTCAGCAATATCGTCGTTGATGCAGCAACACTATAAACAAGAAGTTGACACCAATTCAAAACGGTGTAAACAGAAAACTATGATTCATGAAATGCAGTATTTTTGACAGTATGAATATTATTATTAATATTATACGCCATATAAGTTGTACTACATATAGAAATTGAATAATATATATATATGATTTAACCTGTGCAAACACGGGATGATCGGGCAATAATCCGTATTTTTCATGATCAAAATGATTAGCGACAACTTTTCTGCCGATGTATTGAAACAATACTCTGGGAATTATTTTCCTCACATCGGTTACGAATCTGGAAAAAATGAATATTATAATATTAACAACAAAAACGATAATGGGATCTTTCGGATCCACCCCAATATTCAAGTTTTTGTCAAATATGTTGAAAACACTGAATATTCTTACTTTCTTGCAAATTGTAGCTCACTTGGCAAACCATGATTGTCAATTCTTCTAAATATCCACGCTCCGCGACGTGTGCTTAGATACACCTTTATTACAAATACGTATCATAAGGAAAAATAATATTGAAATGAAAAAAATGCATACTAGTTTATGATTCTGATTTAATAAGTAACTGTAAAATTAGCGTTGACAAAATGCAAGAGTATTTTGCATCTTTAACAGCCAACATAACAGTGGTGCAATTATATCAAAAACATACATATATATTATAAGCTACTCATTATTATCTACTCAGTAAATCAATCAATGTGATTCATCATACTCCAACGGAGCACAAATCACGGGCCTACCGTTACAGTGTAAAGCTTGCCAGTTTTATTTGTATACAATTCGTGTGAGACTACTTTAAATTTGATTAAACTTCCGTTACTTTAATATTTGAGAACCTGTTTAGATTGTCGACAGAGATCAACCGCGATATCCACCCCAGAATTTCCAATTCCCACGACGACAACGTTTAAATTTTCGTATCCAGTAGGGTCTCGATAATCTCGACTATGAATATATTTTCCTTTAAAGTTTTCTATTCCTGTCAGATATGAATGTAACTTAACCGTTTAACGGAGAATGAAAAACGCTAATTCGTTGATTGTTACCATTTATGAGGATTAGCGATGAGTTATTGTTCTATTTACATTGACCGCTTCTCACATATGCATTACTGCCGGTTGATATAACTCACCTTTAAAATCTTCAAGTGGAAAGTATGGAACAGCATGTCTTCCAACACATACTAAAACTCCGTCATATATTTCAATCGTTTTTTTACCAGTTTTAACATCTTCCTGGGTTACTTTCCTATGTTGAATGCAAGCAAAAATTTCTCAGTTGTCTGTAAACTAAGATTTCATTAGTTGGCCTGTTTTTTTTACAGGACAGTGTTAAAGATGTTGATAGAAATCTACACAAAGACTTTACCACAGCACTTGGCTGACAGAAATGAAAGTTACGCATATCCGATATTACGGACGGCATTCAAATTTATAATATGAGTTGTTTTGCAGGTGCAGAAACGTATTTTGAAAAAATTTACTCGACCACGATCGATATATTTTGAATTTGACAAAGTTACAGTAATTAAATTGAGAGAAAATCATATTGTAATACATTAACCCTTTGTTACCATTGGCCATTGTTATCAAATCCACTTGAAGTTGTGCATGATACCACCCTTGTAAAAAATCTTATATGTTGACGCAGCTGGAACCTGCCGATTGACAATGGTAAACACATAAATTAAAAAGGGAGTTGTTATATTCGATATGCTCAGGACTTGTCAATAATAGGTCGTATGGAATCATTGGAACAAAGGAGAACGACAGCATTTAGGGTGTTCAAGAATAATGATATGAAATATTATTTCTATTATAATTACCTTTCCGCGTACAAATTAAAGTATTCCTGTATTTTGGAATGATGCATAAAATTTGGAAATTCTTTCGGCACGGGAAAATCAGAGAAGCCCATCATTTCCTTGCTTGAATTTGCCACGGTAGACTTGTATATAGATCCGGAGTTTTTGGTTGTATGGACGTAATTCCAGACACCTGTGTTCAAAGGAATGAGGCAATGTCTAATATCTTTCTGAATCGACTCACTCACTACTCTCCCTCACATTACCCGTGGCGTGCTCGTCAATAAAGGAAAATTTGTATATGTTAAATTGTATGTCAGTGTATCGAGGCATTTTCAAAATTTAGTCAGCTATTGTAACTGCTTTTCTGTGTAATATTTCTTATCAAACTGTTTGCGTCGTGTTTGTATTAAACAAATTCCATATATATATTATACGTATATATATGGGTATACGTGTAAGGGAAATACAAATACGATCCTGACGATATATCCGATGAAGAATACACCCACCTCCGATATTATCGTGTTCTTCAAAGCAAACTGGAGTTATGCCTTCGTCTAGACATGTTTTTATAGCAGTTAGTCCACTAGCCCCAGATCCAATGACGGCAACCTTCATTCTTATTTTCCGTTAGTTTTATATACAGTATTTTGTACAAATTAAAATTGCTCAAATAGGCATCCAAATGACAAAACATGAGTAAAATCAAAAGCGGGAAGCCTGGGTATCTTCTGCTTTATATATATTTTTTGCTGTCAATAGCCTTGACACATGGAAACGCATCTGTTTGAGTAATTGACCATCAAATATTCTAAATGTCATAATTTTTAGAAGATTAATGTTTTATCGTTTCTTGTGTAATTTGAAAATAGCTCATCAACGTCAGGCTCAAGAAATTTCAACTGAAATAAAATTTAAACTTTTGTCGCCGAGGTATGATCACAATTTACGTGCTTGTTCCAGTGCCAGTTTGAATGAATTCATATTTCATGGACGTTCAAAGTCCAAAGACGTTCATGAATATTCTGACTCTTTGTAACTACGTATGAAAAGTACATCTGCGTTGCAATGCTTCATCAACGTGACAAAGGAATTGACTGACAATCCAGAGTCTCTTACTTGCTCCTGCTCGGCACACATTTTCTTTTGCGTACGTGTATGCGCAAGTGGTGGGATAGTTCTAATTACGGGATGTTTCAAAGATACATAAAACTTCGTTTGTATATATTTGAGCTCTCTTGGTATTTTTCTTTGATTTTACGTCCGTTCATGGGTATTGCATAGGGCGCAACCGTCATGGCTCATTTTTTGTTTTGCAGAATTGTACTAACAAAATTCACGACGTATACATGAAAGATTTTCGAGCCTTCTGCGTGGAATTGTCGAAAGCCATTTGTACATTACAGCAGGGCCGATGTGGATGATAACAACATAGTTCCTATCTCATAAGTTGTTTCGATAAAACAATTGAAGCGCAGCCAGCGCAGCACGGGCCCTGCGCTCTGGAAATAAACGGGGCTAGGGAATCTGAGAGTTGGCTGCATTATAATTCGAAATATTCAAGAATCGATTTTCGGTTCACTAAAATTTCAACTCACGATTTACGATATCGGACTTAAAAAATTCGACTCTGACAATACAGAATGTTCCTAAGGCAGTCGAGCAGTTATTAATAACCCTTTTGAACAAGATTCTTGCTTTCCACGTATGTTACATGTAGAAAAAAATTAGGGCATATTGGTCTCATAAACAGTACCGGTTGACATATAGGATAGGATTTACATATCTATCCCGGGGGAGAGGAAAGCCGATAAGACATCTTAACCATATGGCGAACCACGGCCTCTCGTCCGGTTACCATTCCTTGTCGGGTATGGGATTCGTTAGGTATTTGTTTTTCGGAAGCATGGTCTTGATGGTGGAGGAAGCCGTAACCGACCAGCGGTTATGTAAACCACCCTACGGCGAGTCCACCAGAGTGGCGAGCGTATTCTTAACGCTTAGCACGATGAGCCACACCGCCGCGCCTATATAAAATACCCGATTAGTCTAGAAATGCATATAGAACAATTTGAGGGTACTTATAATTCTTATTATAAGTATATTACTTATACAGAATATTACTTATTATTTTCTCATAATCATTAGAGCAGTGATTCCCAAAGTGGGCGATATCGCCCCCCGGTGGGCGAAAACGATACAGAGGGGGGCGAAAAAAGTCGAAGGGGGCGATTTCGCGAAACCCGTTTTTTTGTCGGCGCATCGTGCACTTGATTACTATACTGTGTGTGCTTGCGTAGGTTTGAATCACGTGGGCGATGTCACACGCGAACGGATTGCTGGACTCGTCTTCGCAGTAAGGTACGGTAGTTTGCGTATCCCAGTGGTGGTGAAATCTATAGTAATCTGGCCCGGAACGTTTCATTGAATGAACCTTTCCCCGACCTTTGACCCCGGAAGATTCTTCCCTTACTTTACCATTCTAAAATTTATTTTTTCGGTGTATATTTTAAGAGAGGCCTCGCCAGTTGTTGCTTGTAAAATGAAGTATTTGTTTCAAACTATCCTTCTAATTCATACCATTAACAATCTGTTTTTTAAAAGTACCGGTAAAGAATTTTAGCCCAGTCTATCACAGCTATTTCTACACTAATTTTTGATTACTGTAATTAAATTAAAACTACTAGAATGATCATTGAATTATTCAACTAAAAACTAACGAATATAATTCAAAATCGCAAAAATGAGGAAATGTTCACAACCACGCCTGAAAGTCTGTCTGAATGAGGAATGTGTCTGAGCGGATGCGAAAGGGGGCATGGGGGCATCTTACTGACTGGCCAATGTCACGAAGTAAACAAGGAAGTCTATGCCAAGAGAAGCATCCAAACGGCGGTTTTAACGATGAATTAATTTTTTTTATTATCTACGCTCGAGAAGTAAATCACATTTTTTTACGTAACAGAATTTATCGTGAGACACGTTTAGACTAAATTTTATTATATCCTAAATATTTAACGGGCCTACAGTTCAATTATAATGAGACAAATGGAAACACGCAGAAAAGTGGATACTGAGTGCAGGGGTCTAATAGCGCAGTAAATATTCGAATATATTGCAATGCAATAAGGAAATAAAATTCATTATCTATTCGATAGATTCATCACTGCTTAATTTTTGTAAGAACGTATCTTCTTGAAGAAAATCTTTATCAAAATTTCAGAAACTATGCAAAAATATTCACTTCGATGTTTGGAAGTACATATTTGTGCGAACAATTATTTTCGAAAATGAACATTATAAAAAAACAAGCAAAGAACTAAGTTTAGTGATGCCCATTTAGAAAATCTTCTGATCTTGGCGTCGTAAAGCTATCAAGCGTGATTCAGCAACAAGACAGTGTCACATTAAATGTCATTGTAATAATTTTCAATAAGACGACTGAGTTGAGTTCACGAATTGTCGCAGTTTTCTCACGATGTTCCGTTTTTAACTTCCAAAAAATATATGCGATCCTCAAAAGAATAGCAACTCTAAATTTAGTCCCGCGAGCGACGTAAAATTTGTGGACCCCTGGGCCATCCGAGTCCACGAATCCAAAACAAATGGCTGATTAATTCTATGGACTGGTGATCGGACTGGAGGACGTGGTAGGATGAGGAATCGGGGATGAATTTTACCGAAGACCGTTATATATCATGTATTTTGGTGAAGGTCATCAGGCTGTAGGGATCAATGAGATGTACGAAAATCATTATTATATATAAGTTTCGGAAAATTAATTTTGTTTTCATTATTTTAATGTGAAATGGGGTGAATTTAGGGAGATAAATGCTATTGAGAAGTTAGAACCCTGGATTCTTTCATTTACGACCTCTGATATGGTGAAAGAGGGGTTTTCAGCCGTGCTGCTATTGCTATCAAAACCACAAAATCGCCTTTCCATCAGTAAACGAGGTAATATTAGATATAATAATAAAAAAAAACACGCTGGAGAACACCAAGATCATCCATCTCATTAAAAACACTATAAACTATGATTTGTCTCCTTATTTGGTCTGCAATATATTCGTTTCAGACTTTCAATTTTTTTTGCAGTGCCGGGGGGCGATGAAGTTGTATAAACTACTATAGGGGGGCGATGGTACAAAAAGTTTGGGAACCACTGCATTAGAGGACATAAGATTTTGTATGGATAGATAAATTTCTAACATGATTTCATTACCAGTATGTGATGACGTAACACATATTTTTGATAAATGACCGGTGGGTGTACTACACGAGTGTCTTTCGAAAAATAACACTAGTGCTTATTTTCAGGGGATGTCTTATATTTTCATTTATCAAAAACAAAATTACAAAGAGAATTACGAGAATTTCAAATCACAAATTTTGAAAACTGATATCCATTTACTTATAAATAACACGTTTTTATTCAAAATAGCTGCAAAACATAGATTATCAATCTTTCAAAACCTGTAGTAGAGATTTCTTGCTATCGACTAGATCATAGGTTCTCAAAGTGCTCTGTACGGAGCCCCAGGGCTCCGCGAGAGAAACCCAGGGGCTCCGCGAGCTATTCGATTACTCTTCGAAATACTGACTCAAAATTTTGTAACTGTTGAAAGAAGCAATAACAGCGTTGATAAAATCTGACAACAATACAGCCTCGAAATATGGTAAAGAGGCTGAATTAAAAATGACATTAATAAGCAGGAGCGCAGCCAGGATTCTTAAGAGGGAGGTGGTTCAAAATTGGAATCGGAAATTTCCGCGCAACATTCTTCGCCATTAAAAAACGGATAACGAGATTTCTGTTGCTTAAATATTCAATCCATGACCGATGCGAGCATTCAACGTGTCTCTTCGTTATAATGTAATTGTGATCATCGTTACTCCAAGTTTGATTCGAGATTAGTATTAGTATTACTTTAAAATGAAAGAATACTATTCTAAAATAACATAAAATAGTAATAAACTGCCAACAATAATAAAGTGGAGTCGTATTTTCGCGATCTTGGGATTTGTCAAACTTGATTTGTTCTTTCGCACCTGAGATTATTTTTAAGCAGGATATCGCCGTTTAAAAAAATCACAATGTCTGGGCAAAATACGAACAATTAGAATTTATTTTATTGCATTCGGCTCCGTCGGTAGTTTCAGAATGAAAAAGGGTACATCGTGGATCGCGTGCACAATTGATTGCGTGCGGCTTCGTCGGTAGTTTCAGAATGGGAAAAAAAGGTACATCGCGCGCACAATTGACTGTGTTTCGATTTCGCAGTTTACTACGACGAAAACCTAACATAACACCAAATTTTGTGATTTACAATGTCTATAAAAGCGTTTTCAATCTGAGGTGAGTCTGCTGAAGCCAAACGTGTGATCTTCCATTTTAAGTTTCAGTTTTAATATTTTAGAATGCCCGTTTTTCAATCAAGAAATTTGAGTTGCGGATTTATCTCTTTATTAATTATAATTTTTAACATCTCGTCGCAGATGACTATTATATGGTAACATGTTTTTCACATTGAACTCATAATTTCCCACGAGAACAAAAAAGGAATTAACGTCGTCATTGTGTAACAATACATGTATATGCCGAGGGAAATTTTTGATTTAAGGAGAATAAACACCGGCGTAAAGATGTTCAAAACACGCCATGCTGACGAAAAAAAATCGGCGATTGTAACAAAATAAAATCGCGCACGTTATTAGCGGCCTGTTAAGTCTTCCAAAAATGTCAAAAGAGAAAAGATTCGACCCCTAATTTATTAATATGTTCGTCAAGTGTCAAATTTACAGCTTTAGTATGAAATTCAGATTCTTTTCTGCTTGTGTTAATCCTATTAAAAAAGGTTCAGCATTTTAAATAAGTAAAGTACTTTTTAACTTGCCCAGGAATATTAATCTGAAAGTAACAATTTTAACATTTATTTTGGGGCTCCGCGAATAATATTCAACTTTTCAAGGGCTCCGCAACACCAAAAGTTTGAGAACCCCTGGACTAGATCATAAAAAATTTCACCCTATTGACTAGGTCTTATTTCAAGGGGAGGGCTTATATTGAAATCATTTTTAAAATTCAGGCTGGGTCCTATTTTATACACAACTTAATGTATATAACATCAAATTTTCAAATTATTTTGTACTAAATGGTAGCATGTACATTTTCATAAGGAGACAATTTTTTTTTCTTCAAGAATGAAAAGAATTTATTGACTCTATAATGATAACCATATTTTCAATCCTTTTTAAAAGCTTCCAAATATCTATCTTGATAAAATATTCCTTGACTGTATTTCTTTTCAAATGGATCTGGCCATCTCCATGGATAAGGTTTATGTAAACGCTTCTGACCCCTTCTGCCCCATTGCATTTGATTATGCCTGGGATGAGTCTCACATGTGACAATTAATCGTCCATTTGGTCTCGATATTCTACAGTCAGGACAGCGTCTGTGTACGGCAACATGACGCTTTAATCCTCTTGTAATGATACAGTTATTTATTCCATTTGGTGCAGCTGTGAAAGCAGAAAGCAATGAATTTTTTCCAATTGGTTGTGTATGTTGAACTATATTGAAAAAAGTCTTCTTCTTCACAAATATATTGTTCAGTAAGATTCGTAAAGAAAACATTGTTATTAAAGATATTTCATCATCATCTGTAAAAAAGAGAAGTATAATTTGAAATACTTCGAGTTTGAATACCAATGATTGTGCTGAAATACACTTTTTCTTACTTTTGGTTGTAGTTTAATATTCCTAATTCTCCATATTCATTCTCAACCCAGCACTATTTAGTGAGTTAAAAAGAAACCAAGAGAATACTTAACTTTTTGTAAAACATATTTAAACAAAATGTATCACCAAGAGCTACATGATAATTTTGAAAAACTTGTTGCATGAAAATGTAGGAAATTGATTTGAGGCAGATGGGAGTCATAGTCATATTACATATAGCTGGTATAGAAGTCATATTATGAAAATCCACAAAAATAGAGCTAATTTTTTCAACTACCTTAGAGCAGGATTAGGCAAGGTTTTCAGACAAGAACAAGGCGCCAAAAATTTTCCCACCCAAACTGGAAGGCCAGGTAAAAGTGACGTAAACAGTTACATATCATGAACAATATTTACAGTGTTAAAAAGCAAAATTTAAAAATAGTAAGCCTCGTGCCAAAACTAAAGTTAATCGCAATCTCAACAAATTCCTTAGTTATTTTTTTGCTAAAACATCAAAATTTGGTTTTAGATTGGCTGTGGCAGCATCAGACGGGCCAGATTGAAGTAGCCTACCCAGCGGGCCGGATTTGGCCATGTTAGAAATAGAGTCATCAAATTTCTGAATAAGTCAGTTGGAAACATTGGGAGTAAGCATTTGCAATCTCAAAAGTTCATGTATTCAAAATTTTGCTATCAACAAATTTGGAGGTTGAACATTTAAAATTATTATTTGAGAAATAGAGACTGTAAAGTGTAAATTACTGTCACATCAAAGTCAGAAGTCTCAAGAAGGTTAGGTATCAGAATTGCTAACCAATTCAAATATTTCTGAATAGTATTATTCCATTTCTTAACTTAAATTAAACTGGGTTTTTAAATGGCAAAAAAAATAAATAGCAAGATAGTGCGAAATCATCACTGTGAATTCATGATAATTTCATTTTCTTTTTCAACTCCAGTTCTTTCTGTAACTTTTCTTCTTGGTATTCTGCTTCTTTTTCATCTACAGTTTGTAAATAACGATCATAGACTTCAGGATCAAGTTTTTCAACAATATCAATATGACTCCTATAACAAGATTGAGCAATTTCTTCACACATTTGCTGCATAGTATAATCGCGAATAGTGTAGTATTCGTCCTGTATTTTCACTTTTGCAATCTCATATATATGTTTATGAGTAATTTTTCCAATGAAGTCCTGACCTAAATTTAATGGCCTTTCCCCCTTTTTTGCACCAGCTGCTTGAAATATCATATACCCCTTGGTGGGTGATGAAATATTAATTTTGAAATTTTTCCCATCAAGGTATATCCGAGTATCAAGTGGAATTCCAGTTTTTATATGTTTTGTTTGTTGATTAAATTCTGATGCGAATTTCGCAATAGGAATTCCTCTTTGGCCGAGAACGGGACCCAATGGAGGACCCGTTGAAGCACGATTGGCTGCTATGACTGTGTCTATTATGTTTGGCAGCTTTTTTTCCACAACCTTGTTTTGCAGAGACTTTCCAACTCTGGATAGCTTCGACATATTTTTTGTATTATCACTTAAACCTTTATACTTTAATCTGTCAGAATTAGCTGATCTCCAAACAGAAACAGCTGAAAACAGAAAATATGAAGATAGTACCGGTATGACAAAGGAATGTCTGATACAGGCACAAAGTACATGGAAATGGTTTGGACAGAGCAACAACAAATGAAAAATGGCCACTTAACCAGCAGTTTTCGATACAAGTCTCTAAACTGCTATTCGCGAGTCACAGAGTCAGGTACGGTATTAATTATCGTAGGTCATCAGAGTCTCGACTCAAGTCCAAGTTTGAGTCCCTGCACTCCCTGACTCCTGAGTCTGTGAGTCATAAGTCTCAAAGTCTGTAAGCCAAGTGCAGTACGAGTCGCCGCCTAGCGCTGGTGTATTTAATGAACCAGTGAACAGTGCTTGATTGGATAAATATGATTCACATTGCAGCACTGTCACCTACTACTGGCACTAGGCTCACAGACTTAACATACTCATCTTGCTATCTTGCATAAACCAAACTTAAGCATACAGATAAAACGAGTTCGGTCTTATTTGGTAGGTAGTGTGTCCCACTAGTGGCGGAGTTAATCATTCATTGAATGAAAAATGTGGCAGTTCCAGTTGTGTTTCCAAAATTTACGTGTGAATCGAATATCTCCATATTCATTTCGCTTTTTTTTTTGAGCATAAATCCTTCTTTACGGAGTTGTGAAGATACAAATGACAACATCATTATTTAATAGAGTTTTTGAAGTGGAAGGCCCAAACTCTCTAGGTCTAGATCACTTTGAAAAACAATGTATTAAGAGTCAGCAATTAGGATAGGATAGGATAGGATTTACATATTTATCCCGGGGGAGAGGAAAGCCGATAAGACGGCTTATCCATATGGCGAACCACGGCCTCTCGTCCGGTTACCATTCCAAGTCGGATATGGGATTAGATTTTACTGTATTGTTTGTTTTCGGAAGCATGGACTTGGTGGTGGAGGAAGCCGTAACCGACCAGCGGTTACGTGAACCACCCAACGACGGCGAGGAGTCCAGCAATCCTCTCGCACATAACCATCCCTGCATGGGATTCGAACCTGAGAACCCACGCAGAGTAGTTAGAGGTGCGGTGGCGAGCGTATTCCTAACGCTTAGCCCGTTGAGCCACACCGCCGCGCCGATTCTCTGATACCGACGCATGAAGCATCGAAACAGTGAAAATTGGCGGTCCAGAATTCTCCCGACGTCCATTCGTTTTGCAGACGGATCTAATCAAAACGATATGATCTAAACTGTAGACCTTAAATTCAATGTTCTATATCTTTACTTTAAAGAGTTTATGTTGTTTGTTGAACAAAATTACACCGTACTCTTTCTCTGTCTTTCAGGCATTTTATATACGGAAACAGCACAAAGTGAAGTGAAAATGTGAGCAGTGAAGCTAAGTTCAATTGATTTTTGGAGTCGAAATTATGTTAAGGTTTCCATACGAAAAATCCTCTGTATGCATTAGTCATTACCACCGTTCTGTTGCTGCTTTTGGAACCGATTTTGCCAGTGGCTAACTAGTAATGCAACGACTCGAAGTGAATTGAGTCATCTGAACTAAGTATGTCTAGAGAGAAAGAGATTTATTACAATCATCAATACAATAAAAATGTAATAGAAATAAAATTGTTTTGGCACGGACAGGATGGTGCGATGCGGCTATCGAGGTCATCATCATATTTGCTGGTGTTATTAAGGTTCACATCGAAGATGACTGTAGAGAACGTTATTAAAATAATATTTTTACAATTGTGGTTTGAACAAAATCAATGTATTATCAATAAACTTCATATTGCTGGGGTTAACACAATTCATTCCTTCGGCGTTAGACAAGAATAATAAATAATATATAAAACATTTAATGTATGCAAAAAACGACGACTCTAACTTGACACAAGTTACATCTAGATGGGACTGGTAACTGATATTTAGCAATGAATTAAACGGCAAAAAATCAGTCAGATACAATTTACCGTGTGGGATAGACAATTGTTGTAACGATGTAGAAAAAAAAGAGATTTGTTTGCATCTTTCAGTTCACTTGCAGCCATAACTCGAAATTTGCGGTATTAATGTCGAGGTAAATGTTGTCAATTGTAGTAGGGTACAGAAATAAATTAGTCGGTCCTTGTGTGATTATCGTACATATTTTCGTTGTAACATTTTCTTCTAGTAATACATAGCCGTTCTAAACTGTTGTTAAATTTGTGAAATATGCGCACAATCGTCCGGTAGTCCTTCCTCTCATTCATATATAATCTTTATTTGTTAGGCATATACTGTTACAATTTTTTCTTTAAATTCGGTTGAAATCTGTACATATATATGATATTTAAAAATACCTCTAAATAGGAGAAGTTAGCAAACCCAAACGTATAATTCTATATATATATATGTTATATAACATCATTCAATAAGGCAAGACGTCGGGGATTTGGAAAAGATTTGATTGGAGGTGGTTTATAATTATTGTTTTTATGTATTATTTGTTTGTGTTTGTGACATGGACGTTATTGGTCTGGAGTAAAAAAACGAATTGAATTACAATATATTTATCATTATATAATCGCTTTATTATTTGTTAGATAATCTGAACTAGCATTTGAGAATGCCAAATCAAAATATCTGGACAAATTCTTGGGATCATTCCTTCATGACGATTTTGAAGATATTACATTGAATTAATTTTACCAAATATACCGATGACGACTTTCTCTGTATATTTTAAAAATGCAAAAACAAATTATAAAATGAGAAGCTGTTATGTTTCGTCTCTCCAAAAAAAACTATGAAGATGGGGGTTTCGTTGTGAATGATTGATCAAAGTCATGTTAAAAGTATTTATATATACAGTAAATTTCCATACTACATATTTTATTGATTCCGTCAATAAATTTGTATTTTTATATCTGTACTTTCATCTCGAAAGGGATCAAAATTTTGTTTTATCCTATGACGCAAACTATTGAATATTGAAGTGCATTGACGTGGATGTCGGAGGTTACTTGACGACAGGGATCGGCCAGTTGATATCCTACATGAACCACCCAGCGCCGACAAGAAGCCTGCTATTATTTTCACACATATTTACCGTTGATTCAACACGATGTAATCAGTTTCAAACAGGTTTTCAAAGTTACTTAGGTGTTAATCCAAGCTATGTTAAACAATCACAATGTCGTGATTTTTTTTAAAGTTAAAATGTAAGTCTGCCTAGTCACACCAATATTTATGTTTTTTCATGTAATGTTTGTAAATAGACAGCTGTTTTGCTATACATACGTTGAAAGTTGTCAATTTTTTTCTCTAGCACTTCCTATTTGTAGAATTTCCTTCTTTCAGTTGCCATTATTACGTTGATTTGAACTGCAATATATATTGAGATCTTGCACTCGGAAAAGTATGAATAAGTGGTGTTTGCACTTTAAGTTGAGGATTCGAGACCTGTCTTCGAGAAAAGTATTTTATATATTTATACACAAAAGACGACCCTTTTGTGAGATTTACAGAAATATTTGTCAGTTTGAATCTAAGTTCACGAATAATGAGGACTTTCAAAGTAAAGAGTTTATTTTCTCACAATGCAACATTTAAAACATTAAATAGAACATAAAGAGAAAATGGTATGAAGCACAGGTTTAAATGAAAAAATAACGTTCATCAGTAAATGATATATAAATATTTACACATAATCAGTATATGTTTGAATAAATAGTTGTTGAAAATCTCGACAACCCGGTTTTCGAATACATTTTAGTCAACTTCTTCAATTGTGGGTCCATCACCGTTCGACTGGTTGGATTTGTCTTGTTGTGGGACCCCGCCAGGCGCAGAGCTGCCATTTTGATGGAGTTTGGTCAAAACAGGATTCACAACACCCTCTAATTCCTTCTGCTGATACTCGAACTCGTCTTTTTTCTGGCGGTCTGATTGTTGTCAAGCCAGTCAATAACTTCTTTACATTTATCAAGAATTGTTTGCTTGTTTTCGCTGGAAAGCTTGTCTTTAATTTTCTCATCGTCGACAGAAGATTTAACATGATAAGTGTAGGATTCCAAGCTATTTTTAGCCTGGATTCGGTCTTTTTCTTTGTCGTCTTCTTCTTTGTACTTTTCGGCTTCGTTCACCATTTTCTCGATTTCTTCTTTGCTTAGACGACCTTTGTCATTCGTAATTGTAATTTTGTTCTCTCGTTTTGTACTTTTATCAACAGCGGATACATTCATTATGCCATTTACATCAACATCAAATGTAACGTCGATTTGTGGAATACCCCTCGGTGCGGGCGGAATGCCAGTGAGGTCAAATTTTCCTAAAAGATTGTTATCTTTTGTCAAAGCTCTCTCACCTTCGTAAACTTGAATTAAAACGCCTGGTTGATTGTTAGCGTAAGTTGTGAACGTTTGGGTCTGCTTCGACGGTATCGTAGTGTTGCGTTTAATCAGCGCTGTCATTACTCCACCAGCGGTTTCAATTCCGAGAGATAAAGGCGCAACATCCAGTAGAAGAAGATCTTTGACCTCATCAGATTTGTCACCAGACAGGATCGCTGCCTGTACTGCAGCTCCGTATGCAACGGCTTCGTCAGGATTTATGGATTTGTTGAGTTCTTTTCCATTGAAAAAATCTTGAAGAAGTTTTTGAATCTTTGGTATTCTGGTCGATCCTCCAACAAGAACAATTTCATCGATTTTGCTTTTATCTATTTTCGCATCTCGCAAGGCCTGTTCGACCGGATCCAATGTTCCTCGGAAAAGATCAGAACAAAGTTCTTCAAATCTTGCTCTGGTAATTGAACTGTAGAAATCAACTCCTTCGAAGAGTGAATCGATTTCGATATTTGCCTGTGTTGAAGATGAGAGTGTACGCTTTGCTCGTTCACAAGCAGTGCGAAGTCGACGCAATGCTCGTTTGTTGACAGAAAGGTCTTTTTTATATTTTCTTTTGAACTCTTGCATAAAATGATTAACCATGCGGTTGTCGAAATCTTCTCCACCCAAATGAGTATCGCCTCTAGTGGATTTTACTTCAAAGATTCCATCGTCGATGGATAAAACGCTGACGTCGAATGTACCACCACCCAAATCGAAGATTAAAACATTCCGTTCTGATCCAGATTTCTTGTCCAGTCCATAAGCAATGGCAGCAGCAGTCGGCTCGTTGATAATTCTCAACACATTTATCCAGCAATTGTGCCGGCATCCTTTGTGGCTTGGCGTTGTGAATCGTTGAAATACGCTGGAACGGTGATAACAACGTCTTTTATTGATGATCCAAGATATGCTTCAGCTGTTTCCTTCATCTTAGTTAAAACCATGGAGCTTATTTCTTCCGGAAAAAAATTCTTCTGTTCGCCTTTGTGTTCGACATTGATTTTCGGTTTTCCTCCTTCGTTGATAACTTTGAAAGGCCAGTGTTTCATATCACTTTGTACTGTTGAATCATTGAATTTTCGCCCAATCAATCTCTTTGCGTCGAAAACACTGTTTGTTGGATTTAAGGCCACTTGATTTTTTGCCGCATCTCCTATGAGTCGCTCCGTATCGTTGAAAGCAACATAGCTTGGTGTTGTTCGATTACCTTGGTCGTTTGCAATAATTTCTACTTTTCCGTGCTGAAAAACTCCAACACAAGAATATGTTGTCCCGAGATCAATTCCTATCGCAGGCATTTTTGAAAACGATAAATCAGCGTAGTTATATTGATATACACTTTTATAAGTTCGCTAAAGCTCCCGTTGAAGAACGCTATGTTGGAAATATTTTCGTTTCCGCCATCGCCCTGGGCTTTTATAAAGCGAGAGAAGTCACGAGACCATACGCGCTATTTCGAGAGAGTTTAGTCAGGCACGTGGGAATGTTCGAGAAAGTCGCCATCAAGGAGACACGTATAGCTATGACTATTGGGTACAGTCCACAGACGGCCTCACCTACAATTCTTTGTTATGGCGAGTTTCGACAAGACCAACTATTCGTTTTGAACATTACGTATTCCACTACCTAATATATTTACGAACGCATGATGTAAAGTCGAAGTTATGAAAGATGCCATTCATATTACGAAAGTGTTACTCGATTTTCAAATATTTTCCTAGAAGCTTCTAGAAAAGACTTCTTGTTTTGTTTTTGCAATCATGGTTTTGAATCATATCAGATTGAAGATTGCGTAATGCCTACCAAACGAATTTCAACTTGTAAAGTTTCTAGAAGGCATCCGAAAAACTCAAGTCTAATACTTACAAAATTAGTACATAAATTTAGTTGGTTTCGACGTTTATGCAGCTAAATTGCGAATAATTATTTATAAATTATTGTGCTTTTATGACAATTTCAATAAAGTAACGCATAGTATTAACTAGCAGAAGCATATTTATTTGCAAATAAGTTTACATTGTTAAGAGGTTTTGTTCGAGACAAACGATTTTTAAAAAGTTTTTGGGTATACACTATACAGTGTTCATTTTTAGAAAATAAACTGTATGATAAGTCCAATATTCGCCTACACGTTACTGCGGGACCCATACGGTAGAAATTGCTTTCTCATTCTGGAATGCCTGAACCGAATTAATTGATTGTATGAGTGTTCTTGAAGGTTTGTTCTAATTTCATTATAATCGCTGGCCTGCATTGATTTCTCTCGAATAAGTCGACCTACGTCGATCGATCGATAACGAGAATGTTCTCGAAGGGTATTTAAAGAATTAGGCTTCTCTCGAATTACCGCGCGTGGTCTCGACAGTTCCATCGTGTTATAAAACAGCGGAGTGTTTGACATAAGCTAATAAATACGAAGCTGTGACAGCGCGAGCTTGCTGAAGGCGACCAAAGCTATATCTGTAAATTGTATATACTGAATTATTATATATATTCTTCAAAATGCCTGCTGTTGGAATTGACCTCGGGACCACATATTCGTGTGTCGGAGTTTTTCAACATGGAAAAGTCGAAATTATTGCAAACGATCAAGGAAATCGAACTACGCCAAGTTATGTTGCTTTCAACGATACGGAAAGACTCATTGGGGATGCAGCGAAAAACCAAGTGGCGATGAATCCAGCGAACAGTGTTTTCGACGCCAAGAGACTCATTGGACGAAAATTCACCGATTCAACAGTACAAAGTGACATGAAACACTGGCCTTTCGAAGTCATCAATGAAGGAGGAAAACCGAAAATCAATGTGGAATACAAAGGCGAACAGAAGAAATTTTTCCCAGAAGAAATCAGTTCTATGGTACTGACCAAAATGAAAGAAACTGCTGAGGCATATTTGGGTACACCGATAAAGGACGTGGTAGTTACGGTGCCTGCCTATTTCAACGATTCTCAACGCCAAGCCACAAAAGACGCCGGTACTATTGCTGGTTTAAATGTCTTGAGAATTATCAACGAGCCAACAGCTGCAGCGATCGCTTACGGTCTAGACAAGAAATCGGGTTCTGAGAGAAGCGTATTGATATTCGATCTGGGAGGTGGCACGTTTGACGTCAGCGTTTTATCTATCGATGACGGAATCTTTGAAGTAAAATCAACTAGAGGCGATACTCATCTTGGCGGTGAAGATTTTGATAACCGAATGGTAAATCACTTCATTCAAGAATTCAAGCGAAAATATAAGAAAGACCCTTCTGGCAACAAACGAGCATTGCGTCGACTTCGCACTGCTTGTGAAAGAGCAAAGCGTACACTCTCATCTTCAACACAAGCAAATATCGAAATCGATTCACTCTTCGAAGGTGTTGATTTCTACAGTTCAATTACCAGAGCGAGATTTGAAGAACTTTGTTCTGATCTTTTCCGAGGAACATTGGATCCGGTCGAACAAGCCTTGCGAGATGCGAAAATAGATAAAAGCAAAATCGATGAAATTGTTCTTGTTGGAGGATCGACCAGAATACCGAAGATTCAAAAACTTCTTCAAGATTTCTTCAACGGAAAAGAACTCAACAAATCCATAAATCCGGACGAAGCTGTTGCATATGGAGCCGCAGTACAGGCAGCCATCCTGTCTGGTGACAAATCTGATGAGGTCAAAGATCTTCTTTTGTTGGATGTTGCGCCATTGTCACTTGGAATTGAAACGGCTGGTGGAGTAATGACAGCGTTAGTGAAACGCAACACAACGATCCCGTCGAAACAAACACAGGTCTTCACCACGTACGCAGATAACCAACCTGGCGTTCTCATCCAAGTTTATGAAGGTGAACGTGCGATGACGAAAGACAACAACCTGTTGGGAAAGTTTGATCTAACTGGCATTCCTCCGGCTCCGAGGGGTGTTCCACAAATTGAAGTGACCTTCGATATCGACGCAAACGGGATTATGAACGTATCTGCTGTTGACAAGAGCACCGGACGTGAAAACAAAATCACAATCACAAATGACAAAGGCCGTTTGAGCAAAGAGGAAATCGAGAAAATGGTGAACGATGCCGAAAAGTACAAGGAAGCAGACGACAAAGAGAAAGATCGTATTCAAGCGAAGAATGGTCTTGAATCGTACACTTATCATGTCAAAGCTTCAGTTGAAGACGAAAAAATCAAAGAGAAAATTTCCGAAGAGGACAAAAAGACAATTCTCGACAAATGTGGGGAAATTATTACGTGGCTCGACAATAATCAAAACAGCTGAGAAAGACGAGTATGATTACCAACAAAAAGAACTCGAGAAAGTTACGAATCCTATTCTGACAAAACTGCACCAGGCCGGAGGGCCTGCGCCCGGAGGGGTTCCACCACAAGGGGCTTCGGATCAGCCTGGTGCTGGCGGTCCAACAATCGAAGAAGTTGATTAATCGTTATCTTTTGTTATATAAAAATATTCTTTGATTGGCATAAATACTTTAACACTGCGTTTTCTTCTATACTGCTCGAATTATATTTAGAGTTTGTCTTCTTTTTTTGCTGTTTTGTTAAATTTGTGCTCGATAAATATTGACATGTTGCTTTTTCATGTTTGCACGATTGAGTATTAAAAGTTATAATGAAAATTGTGAAATTGCTAGTCTATGTCAGAATATTTGTATAAAAAAAATGCAGCGACGGGTGATAATTTATTTGAATAGTATTTAGTTACAGCCAGTATAGTAAGTATACTGAAACACTCACATTACAGGCCAGCTTTTGCGATTCCGTTCAAAAATGATACCTCGTAAGATTCCAATATATTTGTGCCGTTCTGAAATTATTACTTGAACCAGATTTTAATTCATTATTAACTCATTATGATTATGTTGAAAATTATTTAATGGGAAGCTGAGAATAAAAAATTTGGCGTACGTAATTTAGTTTGAGAAAAAGTACAAAGAAATATTTTTGAGGGAAATTCTAACATCTCTAAAATTCAATGTAGGGTACATTTGGTATTTCTGTTTAATCTTTGATGTTAAAGGGGCTAGCTATGTTCATTTGGAGTAAAACGTCATTTGTTATCCTAGGTTTTTTATTTTCTTTGAACGCAATCGCCATTTGTGACAAGATATTACACAATTAGAACAATCTGCTCACTGAGGGTATACAGAGGCTCAACTTTCCAGCGATAAAATATTCGGAATGCATTTTAAAACTATTGCAGAACAAGCTTTCCGTCTGGAATTACATAAAAAGTCGAGCGCCTCAATTTTTTCAACATGTCTTTCCCGCTAACCTGACTTGCTTCGGATTGAGAATGGAGTAAGTAGGTCGCTTTTTGACCGTGAAATAAATAAAATTGTGAGAGATTATTTAATTTTTAATATAAATTGATTCATTCCATTGATTTACCCTCAACCAGCGCTTTTCGTCTTGCAATTAAAATTACATTCAATGCCACATATATCGATAATATATATTTCGGGATGTCAAATCAGATTTTTGAGCGAGTTTACGCCATTTAACCCACTGAGTTTTCCTGCATGTATACTCGACTATTTAATACTTGAGATGTGACTCACTTAAGATATATAGGGATTTATTGAGGAATATTCGTTGATAACGTAAAAAATATACTTTCTATATATATGAATATACTTATACACCAAATATCGATGCCACGCTGTTGAGTGTATTCAAAACGAAAAGGTAATGAGATGCACAATCGTGTCTTCACATATCACGTTCTCTCGATAGATTATACAATGAGAAAAGAACAATATTTATCCCCCACCAACACTCCAGATGGATAGTGTGGTACTAGAGCGGATGGGCAATATTCCGTGCGATTGTAATAGTATTGCATTTCGATTGGTAAGCCTTGATGAATGTCTTTGAAAATGCCAAGTGAGGTTTATTTCAGGTTTGACAAAATGATATAAGATTTAATATTTCAGCTAAAGGGGTTAACATACAACCTCTACCGCGGGCCAAAATTGGAATCGGGAGGATGTTCGCGGGCCGGAAGAGTGTAGTGCCCGAAAGTGCGCGTCGTATTAGCTGGGGTTCAGTGGAACACATTTTCCATTTTTTGAAACATGTTTGTTTCACTCGTAATAGCGCTGTGTGTCGCATTCCTTCAGAACTGAAACAGTTTAATGGCGAAGTGAACAAATTGCTGAGGTTGGATTCTTTTCAATACAGAAATACGAACGCTGACATTTATCCAAGAAACGTCTATTTTCAGAGCCTAGTTAATGTTTGTTATTTGACATCTATAAGCTTTCTAATACGGCTGATAACTAATTACTGCCCGATAACAATTGGCGGTATCTAGATTGCAAAACAGCAGAAACAAAATCTGTTGAACACTTCCACTCAAGCTTGGTGGGCCATTTTAAATCGTTACGCGGGCCGTATTTGGCCCGCGGGCCGCGGTTTGGGAACCCCTGCCCTAGTCTAATACCTTCCCCGCCTTCCATTGAAGATCAATTTCTAGTGATTTATAAGGAAGCGTTAGGTCGTAACGCTAAAGTAGCAAAAAGAGGTCAGTGGCCGGGCACATACGGTGGGTTCTCCAGTTGGAGCAGTTATTTCCCGCTATGGGGTTCTTCATGTTTTCGATAATGTTCATTCCTTAGTTTTTACGTAGTATTTTAGGTGTAGAGCTGCGTATGAAACCCATCGGACCTCGGGGGAGTGATGCTTCACTATTGATTTATATGGTGAGAAATATAAAGTAACCTCCCATTTGTGGTGGTCGCAGACCAGTGTTTCATCGAACCCTGGGATCGACGGAGCTCTTCTGGAGGTTCGACTAAGGTCCCCTGGAAGAGTTGTTTATTACAAAACCCTCCTATTACATAGAAAAAAATAACCACAGTTCGTCGTAGATATACAAACTTACACGTTTAAACAACTCATAATACTGTGTGTGGATCCGAGCAGATTTTTAATGGATTTTATAGGACTGTTGCAACCTAAATTTTAGTCCACTTCATTTAAAACTCATATCGCCACAGATGTTGTACGCTTGGGTGTACTTGGGTCCATTATCGCGCTTTTAGGTGCTTTCTGCTTAGGGTCACGAAATATCAGGTTAATAATTAATATGACTTGGGGTTTAAAGCTGAATATTTGCGTGACCAAAACATGCAGATTGTTTCGTCGTTTTATATTTTTCTTCTGGTTGTGAAAAAATCGATTTCTCATTATTAACTATACTGAACCAATTGGAATTTTCAGTCTTTAAAGATTGTTGTTGTTGCTGGAAAGCTATTATTTTTATTTATTTTTAAATTTCCTGTGGGCTCTGTTGCATTCCTTTTTCCGTGTGATGTTTTTTGTGGTGACGTCAAGAAAATTAAAAATTAATTGTAACTGTTCTCGTGTTTTTGAGAAAGTTTTTTTAAAACTTACCAAAGAATACCTAATTTGAAAATGCAAGGTTAATTTTATTTCAGGTTCGATAGTACATTCGACACAGTGACATAAAATTTAATATTTCAGGTAAAGGGGTGGCAGCTGACTCAGTTTTCTGGTTAACATACAACATGTCTCTCTCTCCTCCCTCTTTCCCACTTGCATACGCAATAAAGCAGGCATCTGGTTTAAGATAAAAAAAATAATATCTATAATAAAATAATTCGTATGAATTCGAGTTAAAAAGCTGAATGTTATCATTTTTAGTTTTTTGAAATTGACGATGCCAAATTTAGTGTTAGTAGCATTTATGAATATTAGCCACTCAAAGATTATGAAAAAAAAATCATAATAATTTTTTGGTCGTTGTTGTCCTATGGTCGTTGCATATCCTATTATGTGATAAGTCTATATTTAACTTGAGAATGTGGATAAGATGATAAACTGGACATTATTGTTTAATGAATGAATGTTCGCAATTGGATATTTATGCTGAACTTGTTGTTAAAAAATGCTTTCCGTTTAAGATTATTGCTATTGGTTCAGAATAGACAAGGAAGCGTTGGGCCGTAACGTTTTAAAGAGTAAAAGGAGGTCAATGGTCGGGCACACACGGTGGGTTCTCCCTTATGGAGCAGTTACATTCCCGCTATGGGGTTCTTTGTATTCGATCATGTTTATCTTTTATACGTAGTATTTTCGGTGTAGAGCTGCGTATGAAACCCATCGGACCTCCGCGGCAGACATGAATCACCATTGATTTATATGGTAAGCAATATGAGGTAACCTCCCGTTTGTGGTGGTCGTAGATAATAATCTGCGACTATGTCGAGTTTTGGATACTTCATGCCACGATTCATGTCATTACCATGCTTAGCATGGTGAAGGCGGGAAAACAATTACAAGTTACTGTTAGTGTCAATATTGAATTTTCTGATTTTTTGAACCGTAAAATGAATGGCCGCAGCTGTCGCGTATCGTCTCGGAAACGTTTCGGTTGCAATAACATGAGCCTGAACGCAGTACGGCAGGATTTCCTTGTCAGGTCGACTAATATAGTTCAGTATCTGCTTCTGCCAAACCTGTACGTCACTTTACAAAACAAAATGTGTTTGCCGACGAATAAACAAAGGCAATCTTTGCTTCGAATTCAGTAATGTTATTCGTTTATTGTTTTATGAAATATTCGATAATACTCTCATAAATTAAAATATACAGTATCATATTACACACTGTCAATTAGTCAAATCATATTTTCGGATTAGTGCAACAATAAGGAAATAATATTATAACATTCAAATAATATACGATACACTAAAATAAATCAACTATACCAAACAATCAACTGGTTCATAATGGAGAAATCGTTTAAAAGTTTCACATCCCAGATAAGGATGAGCATGGGCTGTATTATTCCACTGGGGTACAGTCACCAGTCCACTGACTGCAAAACATCGGGCAAGGAGCAAATTCGCTGGTAAATTGTAGTAAAATTGTCTCAACTTGATACAGGTGTATTCATTGCGACGGTGCCATGAAAAAACAAATAAATAACGGCGTAATATTTTTTCGGGTAAAGAAAAGTCCATATCAGCGGGGTTATATATAAATGTTTTATGGGCATATAAATGCCCTATGGGCATTGCCTATCTTTTTATGAGATACTTCCATATTTAACTTGAGAATGTAAATCAGATAATAAAGTTGGCGTGAGTTGTTCAATGGACGAATGTCTGCCATTGGACATTTATGAAGTCGTTATTTCATTTAATTAAGATCAATTTTTGTCGATTTAGAATAGATAAGGCAGAGTGAGTCGTGACGCTTTAAAAGTAGCAAAGGGAAGTCAATGGTCGGGTACATACGGTGGGTTCTCCCGTTGGAGCAGTTAATTCCCGCTGTGGGGTTTTTCGTTCCCCGCTGTGGGGTTCTTTGTATTCAATCATGTTTATCGTTTATACGTAGTATTTTCGGTGTAGAGCTGCGTATGAACCCATCGGACCTCCGCGACAGATACACTACATCATTGATATATATGGTGAGCAATATAAAGTAACCTCCCGTTTGTGGTGGATTGTATATTTTATGACACGATTCATATCAGTGCCTTGCTTGACGTAGTGAAAATAGGTAAACAATACCAAGTTACTATTACTGTCAATATTCAATTTTCTGATATTTTTAACCGCCAAATAAATGACCGCAGCTGTCGCATATCGTTTCGCAAAAGTTTCGGTTGCAATAATAACATAAGCTTAAATTCAGTACAGAAGGATTTTCTTGTCAGGTCGACTAACAGAGTTCGATATCCGCTGCTGCCAAACCTGTGCGTCGCTTTACATAACGAAATGTGTTTGTCGATGAATAGACAAAGACAATCTTTGCTTCGAATTCAGTAATGTTATTCATTCATTGTTTTATAAAATAATCCAATATACCCTCATAAATCAAAATATACAGTATCATATTTCATACACACTGTCAATTAGTCAAGAGCATATTTTCGGATTGGAGCAACAATATGGGAATATGATTATAACATTTACATAATATACGATATATACACTAAAATAAATCAACTATACAAAAGAATCAACTGGGTCATATTCCATAATGGAGAAGAAATCGTTAAATAGTTTCATATCCCAGATAACGATAAGCATGGACTGTAAACATCACTGGGGTACAGTCAATTTTTATTCCACTGACAGCGAAAATTCGGGCAAGAAGCAAATTCGCTGGTAAATTGTAGTAAAATTGTCTCTACTTGTATACAGGTGTATTCATTGCGACGGTGCCATGAAAAAAAATTTGAATAACGGCGTAATATTGTTTGGGTAATGAAAAGTCCATATCAGCGGGGTTAAATATAAATGCTTCATCAATATTGCGGAATTGTAGCATGAGACTCGCACTTATCCAGAAATGGTAGCATTAATCAAATTTACCTGACTTATAAAAGGAAATAACCTCAGTCTCCAATCCTCAAACAGACCAATAATACAGAGTGTTGCTATCAACAGTATGAAATCCATAATAATGGAGTCGAAAATAGAAATCACCCATCCCGAAGTTAAAAAAGCTATAAATGAGCCCAAACCAAGAACAGCAATTGTTGTAATTGCCGATGTCAACGTACGCTTGATGGATTTCTTCATAATTCTAAAGTTTGCATTTCTATTTTTGAATTTCAGCAAAGGATGGATAAATAAACTTACCAAAATGACTTGATAAGCAATGGTGAGAACAAAAAAGAAAACACCGAGTGGTTTTCAACCAAACTAGAACAGACCACCACGCAACCGACAGGGGAATTTTTAAAAACCCTACTGTTCATGAATAACAAGGAACCGACTATACTGAATGCAATTATAAACAAAACAATTATGTTCAGAGATCGTGCAATTTTTCCAAACAGATAAGATAAATGTGAAGTGTAAAGCTTTCGTTGCCGCAGCCACAACACCAAGAAAAGAGGCAAGACGCACAATAAGTACAAAACGTATTTTGCCATACGGACGCTGTTGCATATGTCGTCACCATAGAAAAAGTACAATTCCAAAGCTTCTATGCCTTGCGAAACGACGGATAAGATGACTGATATCATTATCATATACCTCATTGCTTGCTCCAGGGGATTCCAACGTATTCTATCATAGGTTCCCTTTTGCATTGCTCTTTCTTCAATTTCTATATTCGCTTGTCTCACTTTCCACGCATGATATAATGTCACGATCAATAGGAATATTTTGATAAGTGCTAAAATGGCTGTTAAAATCACAGCGGTCAACCACTGCGAATAAATCCCATCTTCATCTATTTGGTAATATCTTGAATAATTCTTCGCTGTCGCGTTGCTACAATCGACCAGCGCCATTTTGATATTAGAAACTACGTAAAAAGCAACAGTGGGAAAACTTGATATAACTACAAAAATATATAAGATAATTTGTAGATAATCGTGAGATAGTATAGTAATAGATAGTTATAGATAATCACAAACAAACAACCTCGGGAACATCGTGTTCTCTTCTTCCGTTATTCTATGTTATTGCCAAATCAATGTATTCCAGCGAAATAACTCCGGTTTACGCAGACGATGGAGTGGCGAGTTCTATGATATCATGCGTGGATTGGATCCAGGAATTTTCTCCAATTCGAAACAAGAGAGCAATGCTCAAATATATACAGACACGGAGGCCAAAACGATGTAGTATTAAATCTTCCACAGTACCGGTAGTCTGGCAACCAGATCACCGAGATGTGATCACGGAACCACGGCACGGTGCCCAATTTTTAATTTTGAGGATGTCATCACGCTAAACTTCGAAGTGGGAAACGAATCCCATAGAGCCAACAGATATTTTTATAAATAAAAATAATGGCCTACTCGCGACAACAACATGCTTTAACTACTGGAATATAAGGCAATTGGTCCAGTAGATAGAGATTAAAGCGATTTTCACAAATCAGCAACATATTACCAAAACTATCCTTAGGTCCAATTCGTGCGCAACAAGTATTTTTACGATTTTTTTTTTAATATACGATTTTTGATTCGAGTTATTTTAGAAATGGTAACGAAATATGATTACTCGTGCAAGAATCGCTATGGCGTCGAGCCAGCAACGGCTTTTCATTCTTGCGTATGGCTGTACACCCACTTATGTTGGCTTTGTTCGCATTCGTAGGTAGGTGTGTGGTATGCTTTCCGTGTTTCAACATAAACGAAAGCCTAATTAACTGAATCACAACACTAGAACTCGAATGTCTAACGAAAAAAAAACTGAAAATGCCAGCCGATTAATTCAAATACTTCATTATGGAATATTTTGGCCGTTTTTCTTAAATTTAATTCTTTAATAATCTGTAATACAAAGTCGTCTAATAGTGTAAACCGACCACCGTAATGTAAAAAAATCGATGAATTCAATTCGCCCGAACATTGTGATCAAATAACATATATATACCCTATTGTTCAACTATATACTTCCAACTTATTCTAAACTTATCTGAAGGCAGACTACATACAGCAGTGCATAGCTAGCAATATTTGACTATTTAGCATTGGCACTCAATTCCTATATATGCATTTTTCTTAGTGTCACTTTTTTGGATCTGTCTGCATCGGTAGCTAAATATAAAGTTTGACTGACGTTTAGTTTTGCATCAGTGTGTTCTAAATCTGGTTAGCATAAACACAAAAACCATATTTGAAGACTGTAACAAACGGGGAAATTGCATGACTCGTTCTTACATCCTGTTCCAGCACTTTCGTAAATAGCCAGTCCAATAATACTCTGTGCAATTTATGGAAGGATTCTTTTGTTACGTCAGAGTGAGACATGAATTCGAAGGGAAATGACGATCTTATCAAACCGCTCATTTCGGAAAATAAGGTTTTCCACATTGAACGTCACGTCAACGGCGATCACGAGGATATATATTTATTCGTGATTTGCAACAGTTACAGTTTTTAGAAAAAAAATCTGCTTTGGCATTGCTCACCAAATTTTATTGCTTGCCCGAAGAGAATTTGGGAGGCTCTAATTATTATCTCGAGTCGAGTGACCATTTAGCAAAAACTCGAAAGGGTTAATTCCAATGTTTTAACCACTATTCCACCATAACACGACTTTTGTTCCAATATATTTTAGCATTGCTCTCTTTTTATTATTATTACCAAAGCCATCATCCGCGAAATCGAGAATACGCGGCAGCGAGTTGTTTCACTGACCAGTATCACTATTGAATGTATAAAATCTCAAGTTATACCTGCTCCTGTAACTTTCTTTCGTGTAACAAGTAATAGTCATGCAGATATCTGTATATTTCAAGAGTATGGTGCGAAGCAAAGGCCGGTTACCAACCGATCGTTGGATTTAAGAAGTACATTATCATAAATCATTCTTTCCACAGCGTTAATGATCGCCTCAAAATGAAGGGGAGTTTATGAAGCACGTTAGCAAATAACCTTCACCGTAATCTAACGTTACCAATGCAAGATGTGGAAAACAACATGTCCTTCTGGAAAAAAATTCACATCCCTCAGTTTTGAAGAATAATGTAACAGTAGAAATGCAATCATGCAAAGCAAAAGCATTCAAAGACATTTTGGTGTACATATATGGTCAAATATGACTCACGTTTATTGAGAATGATGATAAGTATATTTGTTATTTTCTGTATCTACCATATTTTATTCGATTCATTTTGTATTATTACGAACAAGGAACAATGATATTAATTTATTTTTATTAGAGAGAGAAAGATTTATTTCCTCAACCAGAATACAAGCATGAATCAAATAAAATTATAAACAAAATACACAGTTATATGATATAGACCGGGGAGAGGGATACCACCATACGATATAGGTCGTATGTTTGTGACCTTATAGGCAACATATATAAAATAATTTAAACATAATACGCCATGACAAACATTATACTATGGACATTGATAATCGTTAAACTATTTTATACCAGAGAAAACACATTGTTCTGATCAGGATTGATTATGTTACGAATATATTACGAGGCATATCGTATTTAAATAGGTTATGTTGTAGTAATCATTACCGAATAGATATCCATATATTGCATTTTATATCAAGGTTTCAGTCTAATTCCTCAATGGTAGGCCCAGCAGACGACTCTGATTTTGAGCTCGGTCCCGCATCGCCGGCTCTGTGAAAACCGGCACCACCAGCTTCTTGGTGAAGTTTAGTCAGGATTGGTGACGAGATATTTTCAAGTTCCTTTTGTTGATCTTCATACTGTTCTTTTGAAGCTGCTTGATTGTTTTCAATCCATTCAATGGTTTCTTTGCATTTTTGCAAAACCGCTGATCTGTCGTTTTCTGTAAGTTTATTTTTCGAGCTGTCGTTTTCTACAGCGGCTTTTACGTTGTACACAAGTGATTCCAAGCTGTTTTTAGCTTGGATGCGACTTTTTTCTCTCTCGTCCTCCTCTTTATATTTATTTGCGTCATTGATCATTTGCTGGATTTCTTCTTTCCTGAGTCGGCCTCTGTCGTTTGTGATAGTAATTTTGTTTTCTCTGCCGGTACTTTCGTCTAGCGCTGAGACGTTGAGAATCCCGTTTGCATCAATGTCAAAGCATACATTGATTTGAGGTATTCCCCTCGGCGCCGGTGGAATACCTGAAAGTTCGAATTTTCCCAAAAGATGATTATCCTTTGTCATTGCTCGTTCTCCTTCGAAAACTTGTATAAGAACACCAGGCTGATTGTCGGCATACGTTGAAAATTTTTGGGTAATTTTTGAAGGAATCGTCGTGTTTCGTTTCACTAATGCAGTCATAACTCCACCCGCTGTCTCAATACCAAGAGACAAAGGTGCCACATCAAGAAGTAGCACATCTTGGATTTCTTCTGCCTTGTCGCCAGATAAAATAGCCGCCTGTACTGCGGCCCCATAAGCAACAGCCTCGTCTGGATTGATGGAGTTGTTTAATTCTTTTCCATTGAAAAAATCTTGCAGCAATTGCTTAATTTTAGGAATCCGGGTTGACCCACCGACCAAAACAACTTCATCAATGTTACTTTTATCTAGCTTGGCATCACGTAAAGCTTGCTCAACCGGCACTAAAGTGCTGCGAAAAAGATCAGAACAAGTGTCTTCAAATTTTGCTTTAGTAATGGTGGTGGAATAATCAACCCCTTCGAATAGAGAATCAAGCTCAATGCTCGCTTGCGACGAAGATGAAAGTGTTCGTTTTGCTCGTTCACAAGCTGTATGTAGTCTTCGTAGTGCTCTCTTGTTCTGAGATAAATCCTTTTTGTGTTTTCTTTGAATCTCAATCAAAATTTTGCTTACCATACGATTGTCGAAGTCTTCACCACCAAGATGAGTATCACCTCTTGTGGATTTAACTTCAAATATTCCATCGTCGATGGATAAAACGCTAACATCAAAAGTGCCACCACCCAAATCAAAGATTAGTACGTTGTGTTCTCCGCCACCTTTTTTATCGAGTCCGTATGCAATCGCGGCGGCGGTCGGCTCATTGATAATTCGTAAAACGTTCAGTCCAGCTATAGCTCCAGCATCTTTGGTCCCCTGTCTCTGCGAATCGTTAAAATAGGCTGGAACTGTCACAACCGCGTCTTTCACCTTTGAACCCAAATAAGATTCGGCAGTTTCTTTCATTTTTACCAAGACCATCGAGCTTATTTCTTCAGGATAAAATGATTTAGTTTCATTCTTATAATTAACTTCAATTTTTGGTCTACCGTCGACTTCTAAAACTTTGAAAGGCCAGTGTTTCATATCGCTACGCACAGTCTGGTCTTCGAATTTTCTACCAATCAATCGTTTTGCATCGAAAACGCTGTTTGTAGGATTCATTGCAACTTGATTTTTCGCCGCATCTCCTATGAGTCTCTCTGTATCGTTGAAAGCAACATAGCTCGGCGTTGTTCTATTGCCTTGATCATTCGCTATAATTTCAATTTTCCCGTGCTGAAAAACACCTACGCAAGAATAGGTAGTACCAAGATCAATTCCTATCGCAGGCATAATACTATTATGTACTGTTCAAAACGTTCGCGAAAAATCGAACTATTCTGGTGATCGGTTGTTCACGTTTGCGACAAATTCGACAGACGACGCTCTTTTTCATCGAGCCTTACCGGAACCAGATGATTTATATCGATCGTGAACGGACATCTGTCATCATTGATTAGGAGGCGAATCTGATTAATCACATTCAAGATTATACCAAGACCTCATAATACACTAACAACGCGTTTTTTTACAGAGTGGTTCCAATTATCTTGCATCGCACTTTCGCAAACTTAGTTCTGTAACGTTACACCTGGCCAACGTCAGATTTCCCCAAACGAGTAGTTTACAACGATAGTTGTATAATGTTTAATGAATAAATATTGTAAGAGGGAAAGAAAGCGCCATTTGTAATAGCTACTCAACCATACAACACATTTATTTAGTACTTTTTCCATTTTAATAAACTTTCGCGTCAGATATTGGGGCCTTATCCTACAAGGGACAAATATCCCGAAGACAGAAGGCATATATTCAAAGAAATCGATTAAAATGAATTGATTATGGCGTTCCAATATTGATGTAAAGATAACCCATCAAAAGACTGGCACTGTATAAACGATTTCAACAGACATTATCTCTACTTTTTAAGTCGCTGATTGCTTTGCTCTCACCGGGTTTCTTTTCAACTTTAAAAAAAAACCTGGCATCGCCGCATTCCCTCAAGCGAGTAACGAATTTCAAGTTATACTTTCCAAGTATTCACTTTTATGTAAGAGTGTTTCGTCTATCATTAGAACTTACCGCGTAGTTGTATTGTCTTCAATGTTCACTATATTTTAATGAGAAAAATGTGGAAGAATGCATTCTGTGCAGAGATTGTGTATTTCGGAATGTGGTAAATTGAAAAAGATAAATAAAATTTAGAGAAATAATGAACAAGCAATATTATATAATAATAAAATGAATTCATCGACGCATTAGATTCCAGTGTTTATCAACTTCAATTAGTAAATGGTCATCCTGCATTATTACTTTCAAAAGATTTATCTTCCGACAAACTTTCATCTTTTTGGTTTCCATCAATTGTTATGTTTGTTTTCACTTTTGGTATAACAGATAAGTCCAGTGATTTGGAAGGCTGAGATTCTGAATTGAAAATTGCAAACAATAATCCACATTTCAATTAGTGCAGCATTTTTTGGCACTATCTATATAACATTATGTGGGGTGACCTGAAGAAAAAACAGGACCTATGAATTTCTTCCTTACTTCTGATAAAATAAAGAAAATATACTGACACTTGAACTTCTGTTTGTGTATGATTGTGAAAGTTTCAGTAATCTAAAACGCAACAATGCTAGGAGCAAAAGTGATTTTACTTTTCACTTTACAAGAAAACTCCCCGTTCTTCCTAGTTTTCATTGCTTGATAAGGCTATTTCACATTTTTTTTTTCACTTTGTTGAGCATGAATTGTTTGAACGTAATGGGATTTCGAATACACCAATCAAAATAACCCTAGGAAACCACTGAAAAGATAAAAAGGGGGCCCATGAGTGCTAAAAGCCTCAGGAATGGGGCCACAAGTCATAACAGTTTGGGAACCTGATTCATAACTTGATGATTAGCAGTTTATGAACTTAAATTTAAATGAAATACCTGTATTCTCGTTAGTCACGTTACTTTCTGTTGGTAATTCTACTTCTTGCTGTTGGATAACTAATAAATGGCCATCTTGCCTTCGAATCACAATTTCACCAGTATCCTAGAAATCAATATAGTAATGGAAGTGTATACAAATTTTTTTTTAACAAGAATAGCCAAGTTTCTCTGAAACATGGAACCGTTTACCAAAATTCAAATAGTAATTACAGAAGTAGTTTACTAAAAGGAAATGTAAAATTACGGTACGTCTTGTATTATGATATGACTGTAATTGTGTAGTTTGATGACATATGCTGTGTATAGTATACAAATCAAATATCATAACAACGGTCACCGGTAGATTCATGTGTCATCAAACATTACCAGTCATTTGTTGATGTCACCAATGTAGAGTAATATTACAACAGGTAGCATTAATATGCATTTTTAGGTGACCAGTACAAAACTAGACTTTGTATTTTAATTATAAATAGGATTTATAATTAGTCTTTATACATAAATAAATCATACTTTTATGAGATCCCATTCTATTCTCAGTATGATTTTTAGATAGAAGTTACCTGAATAAAAACAGCATCCCCTGGTTGGTGAATTTGTTGCAATAAATCAGCTTCTAATCCACCAAGTTGTACCATAGCCACCTTGAAGTATAAAGAAATATTTTTGGTTAGTAAATTATTTGTAAATAACAAAATTACTACTATTCTACTTTATACACCGCTTGTAATATAAAATCAGAACAATCTAACAATATGAAATTGTGAACTGTTTTATGCATCTGCAACAAAAACAAATAATTGAAAAAATATTCAACAACTCGACATCGACTGGTGAATGAATATAATTTCGTTCATCATAACATTAGGCCACCTTATTGTATTATCTCTCGCCAGGGATGTATATAAAAATCTCATCTTAATATCAAGTTTTTCAAGGTTTTCATTTGGATAAATTAGTGACTATTAGCATTTAATTCCCGAACAGTATACTGTGAAATTTGCTTTCCGAATAGACCATGATAAAAAACTAACGCATAAAGCAATTTGCCGCACTAAAAAATCCACTAGGTTATCCAATACATATACCAAATATGATTATATGATATAGGAAAATATATTTTACAAAAAGGGAAGAAATAATATTTAAAACTTGTATATATAAAAAGAAATCCTGTAATTATTGTACCTCTTCTTTAGAATCTGATAAATTATCGGATGTGACAGACTTTTTATTATCTGGAAACACAAAACCAATTTTAAGATTAAAAACAACATATGAACAAGGCATACTAATCTCTACATATTTGGAATCCCAGAAATTAGTTTTAATATGTTACTTATTCAAGCTTTGCTTTGCTCCGAACAAGGCCACTGTTATCTAACAATGTGTTACCTAAATAGCTACATTTATATGGAAGGACTTTTCGCTTCAGCATTGCCTACGCAATTTATTATAGTCTGGATGTGGTGTGTGGGGGGGGGCACAATATTTGAATTCAACACACTCGACAACTCGTGAAATCTGCAACATTGAAACAAATTAAAATAGAAGGATTGGCTAACATCAAAAAAATTTCATCTGTTGAGTCAGATGTGATAAGACATTATGTATCATCTGGTGACTATGAAATCAATCCTACATAAATTACACGATAGATGTGTAGTATGATATATACATATCATATAATCTAAACAGAAAAATAAAATCAATTTCATTGCCTATTAATATGATCAATAAAAACATCAAAAACGTGTTTTTACTTTGTTTTATACTTCCTTGTTGTGAAACTTGGATTAAAACTGATTTGTTATCTTCGGATTCTTGCATTTCTTTATTTGAAGATTCTTCTATCTAAAATCAACAGAAAATAGTCATTACAAACATAAGAAGCTGAATGAAGGATAAATTGACGAGATTTAAAATTAAATTTAGCATGAAAAATACTTTTTAATGATTTTATCATGATAAATTTTGCACATTAAAAAGGAATTTTCTGTTTAATATATCCTACTACAGCGGTCTATCTTTATTGTTATGTAACAACAGAGATAGACAGAACTTGCCATAATTTCGCGAGCTGCAGTTAATTTATCTGCTGAACCTAGTTTAGCAAACATGAGTGAATTTTTGTGCATTTCAAAGGGAAAATCAGGCAGAGATGGAGGCGCTTCAGAAGTGTGTGTACCAATATGGGGGTAACTAATTTTGTTCGCCTACTTTACATCAAGTTGTGTTAAAGGGACGGAAGCCCATGGGCAGGGGGGATATTCACTTGGCTAACACAGACAGTACCCAAACTCGTAATAGAACTGAAATGAGGAAAATCAGAATAAAATTATGGCTTGACCCTAGCCTGGTACATATACTACGGGAGTACCAAGATGGGGAAGAGGGTCGACCTTTTGCCTTTATTCCCCCGACAGCTTAGACCTACATGTTTGCAAACTTAAAGGCATAAAGTACACATGTATAAGAAAGCAGCATTTTTTGTCGTGTAAGTGCGCCGTGTGTTTCGCTCTGATAATCTGGTGCCACAAAAACAAAAAGTTTGGGAACCGCTGTCCTACTATATTTAGCTATTGACAGACACTTACCACAGTATCTTTACCAATCACAGTTGATTTCAATACCGCTCCAGAAGGTAGAGTTATATAGGTAGCAGCTGGTCTTTTAGGACTATCAGCAGAAATAGTATTTGTTAAACTTTCTGTTTTTTCTTTGTCATTTTCATCTTGAATTTCAATCTCATGCGTCAGTGTGCCGTCTGGATTTTGGTGTCGCTTAAAATGTTGATTGAGACCATATCTATCGTGCGTAGCATAGTGACATAAACCACAAACGAACTGCTCTCCAGTGTGCTTTCTTCGCATGTGAGTATCGAGGCAATGCTTCTGAATGGACCTGAAAAAGGAAGAGAAAAACATTGTTTTGGATTTCATGAAAGTTCTAATTGAAGAGAAAAAAAAGAGGATTAAACAATTCTTGATATAAAAATAAAGTGTATAAAATAGAGGAAAACTTATATTTAAAATTACTCATATTAAAAAAAAGAAGGTGTTTGACTATATTTTTGTGAAAAATCCAGATATTGGAATGTAAAATTTAACATTCGTTATGTTTTTCCGCGTAATTGGTTTTTAACTTATTGGAGAAGAAGAGTTCCAGAATTCCAATCAATACATTTTTAACCTTTCATTTGTGTTACCTGTAATTGCAATACTGACAACTGTATGGTTTATCATCAGTATGTGTACGTTTATGTCTTCTTAGTGATGATCTATCTGGAGTAGCATAGTCACATAGTTCATGGTCACATTTATACGGTTTTTCACCTGAAATTATATAAATAACCCACATGTTTCACATTTACATGGTTTTTCACTTGGAATGATATAAATACCTCACATACTTCACATTTATACGGTTTTCCCCCTGAAATGATATAAATCACTAAAAGATTTCATATTTATACGTTTCCCCCTGGAATGATATATATCAGGGTGGTCCAAATCCAGGCCCGCGGGCCCTATGTGGCCGCCGCTTCATTATCTGTGACCCGACGCATTCGGAGAGTAATCAAAAAATCGCATTTCATGTTGTTTTGTCATACAATTGACCAAAAATTTTTTTTGACTTATTGTTACATCACTAATGTCATTGAAGTAACTAGTGTTATGGCTCGCTGAGGCAACTAGCGAAGTTGAATGATGTGCTTGGCAGTCTAAATTGTTATCTGGCTTTTTATCGTTTTGGTCGGGAATATATGCTAACAATTTTGGCGTCATAGAAAACAAAAAATCGAATGCTGATTCTATTAGCTTCGGTTAGCTATGCCTGATAACTTAATGTTATGGCCTAACAATGTGATTCAGTGTAGCCGAGTGTTTTTTACAACCAGCCTAAACAGTATTACGAAAAATGCTGGCTATATGTCAGAAAATTTAGTAATTACCCTTCTGTACCTCATATTTGGTAACCAATCAATCTGCAGTCATTTTGTAAACATAAGTTTAAAAAGAAAGCTGAAGAATTCAAACAGATTATAACTGTATGGGATAGAAAATACCACAATGCTTGCTTGATATGTTGCAAGTTGTGTCGGCGACAAGAGAATTGAATTGTAAACAGCATTTTAGCACCTTATGAGCAATAAGCATTTTCCAAAAAAAAATTTCATTTGCGGAAGCACTTTTTTCCGTTATGAAGAGTTTGAAATCTTACATTATATGTTGATATATCTAGAAAAAATTTTGCATGTTTACTAAGTTTTTTTTTGTGGTTTTTGCATGGGTTAGATTGATAAATAACATAACTGATCAATGTGTTTGTACAAGAAAAGTATTTGTTTAGTATTGCACTGCTTATCTATTCCTGGCACTATTGCGGCCCGCGAACAATGCAAAAATAATTTTGTGGTCCGCGAAGTCGACAATCTTGGACCACCCTGATATATATATATAACTCACATACTTCACATTTATACGGTTTTTCACATGGAATGATATGAATATCTCACCTATTTCATATTTATTAGTTTTTTCCGTGGAATGATAAAATAACTCAAATACTTCATATTTATAGTTTTTCACCTCGCACGTATTTAAATAAAAGTAGATAAAAAATAGTACACAGGATTCAACCTTAGTAGAACAACAAGGAGGCAAAAACAAGTGCATTCCATCGTCTAGACTTGAATTGCTAGACGATGAATCTATATTCTTAGGAATAGAATTTTTAAAATACTCCTTATTACAGCTGTAGCTACTGGCCATTCCTGACAGGAATATAATTGCTGGGGTGTAATTATGAAATAAACCAATCCAACACATACTGAATCAAAAATGTTTAAAATAATAGGTTGACCACGATGCTAACCTGTGTGTATTCTTTTGTGCATTATCAGAGATTCTTTTAATCGAGTTGAATGTCCACATTGATCACAAACAAACGGTTTCACATCGAGATGGATTTCCATATGTTTATCTAAATTCTTTTTCGTTGAAAGTTGTCTTTTGCATAACCTGAAAACAGAGATTGGGATTGGTAAACCATAAAATATTTATCAAGTAGCATTTGTCCTAAGACTGGTTTTACAGCATTTTCCATTCGTACCACTGGGGTTTTCCAGAAAGACACCCAGTCTCCAGTCCGCCCATGGGCACTTATTTTAGGTAGGCATTTATATCATGCTAAGATTCAACCCTTTTCGTGCCTTAATTATAAATTTATATCGGCCTCCAAAGTACACAGAAATTATCATTTGACAAGAAAAATGAGAGGCAACACGAGACGCAATATATCTCATCTTTGTTTATATATGGAGCAGCTGGATGCAATATTTCCAGACGCATGACCTGATCAGCTGTTCAGCGGAGTCAAAGGCCATATACAGATGTCATAAAACAGCTCGGGCGATTACTTGGACCATGTGCTATTTTACCAATTTGCCTGTTTTTCAATTAACAGTACTTGGCAGCCTTTCAGAAAACCCTGATATCATTTTACTGCACAACAAATACCCCCAAGATAGACAAATTCAACAAACTATCAAATCAAACTGAAAGCTTACTCGCAAATATATTTTTCTTCAGATTCTATTCTTTGTGGTTTACCAGATTCATCAAGACCAGAACAAGTTCGCTGGTGTGCTATCATATTTCTCCGATGCTTAAAAGTACGTTTGCACCTACCGATAAAAAAGAAAATTAAATTCGGACTGTCTAAATTTGTTCAAAAAAGGATTTTCAACATAATTAATTTATTAAATATTTTTAATTTAAAATTCGACAACTTGGTGAAAAGAGCAAGTTGCGTAAAGATAATTAATATAAAAAGTCAATTAATCAAGATTTGAAATTTCATGGTGAAGCCTCACATACAACAACTAAAGCAGGAAATGATAAATCGGGAAATTATTCATGTCTAACAAGAAAGATTCTGGGTACTTGAAAAGCTTCTTAATGTATGTGAGATATTTCTGAAGATTCTTGTTCATATAGTGTGAAATGCCATATAATACAAAACGTTTTTGAACAGTACCATAACAATGAGGGATTAAATAAAATAATGACTAATAATGCTGTAGAAGCGTATTCAATATGTTCTTATATGTAACAGTAGTTTAGGTATTTAAAAAGTCATTTGGAATCGAAATGATAAGATAAACTGATGAATATTTTTCAAACTTACTTGACACAACTAAACGCTTTTAGATTGCTGTGCACTGCCATATGAGCATTGAGATCACTTTTATTAATACACGAAAATGCGCATTTGGTACATTTAAACGGCTTCTCAATTCCATGTTGAAAGAGGTGATTATACATCTGAAAACATAAATTATTGTTAAGTTAAATTAATTAAATAAAAGCATGGTTATCAAGTGCAAAAGAAGGGTGTTACAATAGGGTGTCAAAACAAAATATAGGGAGTAAATAGTTCAGTGAAATTATAAATTGATTGAATGAGATGGCAGTCATTAAAATTATCTTAATGAAGAAACATAGAATATATTTTCAAAATCATAGGATTCACATCGCAAACATATCAAGTCGAAGGTTTTCATTTTCTTTTTATGAAATATTTGTTACCAACATGGGCGTAATTTACACCTTAGGGCTGCATTGTGGGTAAATTTTCAACATTTTTCTCCTCTTCTTATGGAACAGGGGCTCCCCAACATGGGGGTAATTTACTTCTTAGGGGTGCATCATGGGTAAATTTTGAGCGTAATGAAGTACATGGCCAAATGTGGCTGTTGACCACTTAATAGATCGCAATGTACTACTGTTTAATTGATCTATATCTTCCTTCTGCGGAGATAAAATCTAGCTTAGTGCCTCTTTATCATAGTTCACCCACAAAACACTAGAATAGATAGTCTACAATAATGGTTGAGAACCCATTTTATGAAAAGTTAAACTATTTCACATTCCCCATACAGTTACTAGTTAAACATTTTTATTTCTTACCTTTAACCATTGTGAGTCTGTATATTCACAAAATAAGCATTTATAATTTCTTAATGAATGTTGATGACATCTGACATGCATATCTCTTAGATCTTCAGTCACAAATTTAAGGCTGCAACTGAAAAAAATTTCGCTTATTGATCAACATTCAAAAACGTACCATCTGATTAAAATTTACATAAACAATAGGGCTGGGAAGCTAGTTTAAAAATACTATGGCTCCAGCCCATATGCAGTTGTGGAGTTAAATTTAAAAATGCAACTTATACTTAGAACTTTAGAATTAAAATTAGAAATTAAATTTAAAAAAAATTATCAGCTGAAAAAGAAAGATTTTATAATTTGTGTGAAGTAATAAAAAATTATAAATGTAAAAAAATATTTAAATGGTCAAAAGCTGGCTCCCCATCCCCAGTCAAAATGACAACAGTTTTCATGATGGTAAATTACAACATGAAATAAAATTATACTAACCTTGAGCATTTATATTTCTTCCAACTCTCTTTACCAGAAATTTCCACTCTTATTGTTGGAAAATTTTCATCATGGCTTCCCTGGATAATAAAGTAAATCATTGAAATCATGAATCACATTTAATTATAAAAAAAAATGCAAGGTATTGCACATTTAAAAACATTCGAAATACATTCACAGTGTATTTTCTAAAAATTCTGCAATATTATGTAAGATAAAACGTTTTCATTGGCACTTTTCAGTTACTTTTCAGTAAAATGGCATTTGTAAACTAGAAGTTGTACTTCAGACTCTAGGTTCCGCAAGTTTCCATTCAAATTAGGAGTCTACATCAGTGGCGTGCAACTTTTAACTTTTTAAATAACTGGGTGAAACCGCGGGGCCGCTCCATTATTTAACATAGGTTTTCTAGTAGTTGTAGCACAAAAATTTTGTTTATTGCTCTTATGACATGCGTTGTTCACTTCGCACATGCTAACTGTTAGGGCATTGCAACGTCAGATAATAGGCATAGATAATAAACTGGACCCAGGCAGTGGCGCAACCAGCGGGGGGGTTACGGGGGTCGTGTCCCCCCGTTTGAAATTTTTTTTTTTTTTATTATTGTTCTACGTTCAAACAACGAATACTCTCGTGGCTTACATCTTGACGCAATGTAACGCCGCCCGTCTTTATGTTATAATAATGCAGAAGAAACTCTGCAAATCTGGATACGAAAATTATTTTCGGAAAAATTTTGCTTCGATTAACCTAAGATTTTCTACATATGAAAGGCAGAAAACCGAAAACGCCGTACACATCCTACCGCCCCGTCCACGTTCTGATTTAAAAACATTTCATTTTTTATCGCAATCGAAAGCAGCCATGTGTGGCACGGCAATAACTAACAGTCGTCGTGAAAGGTTTTCAATAAACTCCGACTTGAAGTGCTTATAAGACGTTGAGGACGTTTTTGGTTGAAAATTTTTTACATTTGTTATCGTATATTTCAATTTAGTCAAGATATGTTGTGCGCCTCGGCAATAAACTTAAAAGCAAATCCTGCCCTAATTAATTGTTTTCATCCTCAGTTTCGATAGTTATCGAACTAAACAGGAAATTTTTTAATTTCTTGCAATCTATAAAATAGCTTCTAAATAGTATTTGGTTTCTATCGGAGATTTTGTCGGTATCCCGACGTCGTTGATAACAATATGGTTCATTTTAAGTTGGAGGTATTAGTTTATAATCAAAAAATTATAACACATAACATGAAAAATTTAAATCGACGCCGACTCAAAAAGTAAAACACGTTTTTCCATCTTTATTCTCCATTATTGGCGGACGGAAATTTGGGAATCGGGTTTAACTAATTTGATTATGATGACGATGGTACACAAACATCGTTATTCAGTCGTTATTTCTCTGTCCTTTCTTCTTTGATGTGCATATTAGGACCATAAAACATGTTTTATTTTTGAACTCTGCGCTGATTTGAATATTTCATGTCGGCTGTTATGTATTTTTGTTTGAAATGAATACCACTAACTTAAACTGAACAATGTTGTCATCAACGCCGGATGCCGACGAAATCCGCGATAGATATTAAATACTATATAAGAGCTATTTTATACGCGCTAAATTACAAGAAATGAAAAAATTTCCTGTTATGTTCGGTCATTATTGAAGCTGAGGATGAAAACAACTAATTAAGACACAATTTGCCGAGGACGGCTAAACCATCTCGACTAAGTTAAAATACACGATAAGAGAATATTTTTAATCAAAAACGTTCTCCAAGTCTTCAAGTCGGCGTTTATCGAAATTCTTTCATGTCAGCTGTAAGCCTGTAATATATTGCCGAACCACACATGGACGAAGACGCTAGGATATGTGCGCCATATTCGGGATTATTATAAACACGAAAAAACAGTAGGCTATTTGAAGTTTGCGATATTTGAATTTAAATTCGATTTGGACATCCCTGCATTAAATTAGTCAGTTTTTAGTTGTGTTTCCAAAAATTTGTTGTAAATCAATTATTTTAATTGTCATTATGTCTTCCGGTGAGCTTCAGTTTAGTTTAGAATTTTTCTGGGGTTGGGGTCGGGAAAAGGTCCATTTGCAAGAAGTGCATTTTGTTTATAGTCTTGACGAATTCACCCAACGGGCAAGGCGCGGCACGAGGGAAACACTGGAATTTATTCAAGCCGTGTTTCACTATCCACGATGCGCAAAGCGAGGGAAACATTGAAAATAATTAACAGTTCTTCGTTAGCAATTTGCTGGAATGTAATGAACGGCGTTTTGCTACCCACAAGGTGCAAGACATGGCGAAGCGCCATTAATGAACGAGTGCAAGGTAAGCGAAAGGCTGGGATTTAATCGATGGCGTTTCCATTTTAACAACGAGCAATTTACCGTGTTTCAGCGGGGCGACACCCAGTGGCGTTGCGACTTACATCGTGGTTGCACTGTGTAAATTCCGGTCGGACCCCCCCGTTGAGAAAGGCCTGGTTGCGCCACTGGACCCAGGTATAGGCTTTTTAACGCAGAGGGATTAGAATTAATAAATTAAAAACTCATTTCGCAGGCTACACATCATTCGAAATTGACACTTCTCGAGAGGGCCGCATTTGGCGCGTGGGCCACAGGTTGTACAGCATTACTTTATATCAGTATATGTATATTGTTTAAATATAATCAAATGGTATCAAGTATGCCACTATTATTAAACTTGCTAAGTTTAAAGATCATTTTGTTTTGCCAGTATTATGTTTGCTTTCACAAATATTTAGGGTTTATACAATTCAGATAAAAAAAGATGATTATTAAACTATTGCACAGGGGTCCTCGATCCTCTGCAATGTTTCATTGGGGTTCCGCACCACCATGAGGTTGAAAACCACAGCTCTGAAGGGAGGTAAGTGTTAAATATGTTTGAATATTCAATATATCATCTACTGAGCGAAACATACACTTTCTTACTATCAGCATAGTCATGTAAGTGAGAAATCATCATAGACCAGGGATGGCGAACCTTTTTCAATGAATGGGTCAAAAATTATAATTTTATCGGCGAACAGAAGAGAGTGGGTCACTGATATTTAATCAATGTTTGTATCTATAAGAAACGTCTGAAACAAATCTTATAAGCTTATGTTGGTGTATTTTTGGGCTTTACTTATGCATCACTTTAGTTGGGGACTTTTTATGGCACTCAATTTTTTGAAACTAGACTACGAAAACATGCATACGAATTACCAAAAACGTTTTGGATGATGCGGCAAATTATTTTACGGTTTTGAAGAGTTTGGAGAGAATTCCACTCTAGAAGTAATATATTTCTCGATCAGCTCTCAACCACATTAATGCCCTTTTACACTGCCCCATTGTTATTTCAGATTTCTAGGTTTTTATTTCAAGTCTGAAGGATTTTGTTTTATCAACAGCATAGTAGGCCGGAAACTAATAAAATGAAAACTAGCATCTAGTTCTCGTATAACCCCTAAAATAGTCTGCAAATGTACTTCCGTAAGAGACAAGACGTTATGAGAAATTGACGAATCAATTGCATTGTTATTTCATAAACAATGTCATAACGGTACACAGCGGTGCAGACATTCGGCCAAGAATCGGGGTTTTGAAAATTACCATACAGGCCCAGAAACTAACGATTTTAATATGAGCGATCGCAACCCTGCAATTTTCAGTCCCTGGCGGTATGTCAATTAACAGAATTTTGACACAAAAATTGGTACCAGAACTCAACTCCAACTCTTCAAGTTCAAAGCCCGCTCATGCTGGTTTATTTTTACTTTCCAAGCTCCAACGCCGGAATTCAACAATTTGCGTCTATATATTTTTCTTTCTCAAGAATTAACGCCCAAACTCTTTGAATTTGAGTCTTATTATCAACGGATATATGTATTGTGTGCCAAACAGATCAGATGATACATGGTTTATATACATTAACTGTGATTCTTTAATAGTGAACTTGGGGGAGCTGACTCTGATGGGCCCCTATGGTCGTATCGCTCTCTCCAGTCTATACGAATTGACTTGCATATTTTCTATATATTTTATTGTACCATTGCTTGTTTTCTGGTTAACGAAATAATAAATCTCTCTCAATCTCTCTCTCTCTGTTAGCATTTTTTTTTTTAAATTTTAGTCGTGCCTTGGCGGGTCACGAATAAAACGCGGGTCAGTGGTTCGCCATCCCTGTCATAGACTAACTCTTATTAATAACCATAAGTTTTTACATTGTTTTACACTAATTTCAATGAAGAACATTAGTTTTTATCACCTTATGTTTTCGTTTCAATTTTTTCGGTTCTGAAGAAGTCTGAGTCATGACTTCTCTCTTGAGAATTTGGCCATCGAGACTTTGTACTTCCGCAACAAGTTCATATGATAAGTCCAAAGATGATCGATCTTGATGACAGATAAAATTTTCATTTTCTGAAGTCAATCTTGTTCTTTTAGAACAACTACCTGGAAGCATAGAAAAAACAGTTAAAGTGTTAGACTTGGTATCGCAGTCCGCAGATTACACATCTCAGGTTAGGCCATAATTTTATTCCGATTTTCCTTAGTTTAGTTCAATTACGAGTTTGGGGACTGTCTGTGTTAGCCAAGTGAATATACTCCCTGGCCATAGGTTTAAGTTCAATTACACAACTTAACATAAAGTAGGCGAACAAAATTAGTTACCCCCATATTGATACACACACTTTTGGAGCTAAAATAAAGTTAAGCGAAAAACAATCCTTCCAGCATTAATATTTCATGATACAACATTCTAATAAAATATAAACCCTATTTATTTGTGCCTACTTTAATTTCTCAAATAGTACCACATACCTTCAGTCTCGGACATTTCACTTGTATCGTCGATCAATGTGATTGTCATAGGTTGGTTGTCATTAGCTGATTTCATAGTAATATTATTGTCATCTATGTTGGTATTATCACCAGAAAATATCACCTGTAATTAATATACTTTCATAAGTACATTTCAATAAAGTAAACTACAAGGAAATGGCCGTTTTATAAAAATTGAGCTTGCAGACCACGGTTTTGTTCCAGAGCCGATAAAAGTACAAAATAAGAAAAGGCAGGAAATGTCTAAGATGGTTAGTCAAATTAAATAACAAGATTTCATAAGAATTGCTGAAAAATTCACATATGAGGAGAATATCTTTAATGCAAAATGTGATTAATATATATAGGCCGAAGCTAAAAAACAGAACCCAGGTCACTTGGAATACATTCTGGAGGGTTCTCAAACGAGGGGCACTCCCTAAGGGGGGGCATAGACAATTTTTGGACCTCCAGGAGTATGCGCACCTAGATGGCACACAACCTGAACATGGTATGTGTGTACCGGTTAGGATTCAGGTTGTGCGACATCTTGGTGCGCATACTTCTGCAGCACCCAATTTTTTTGAGGGGGCATGAAGCTAATTAAAAATAGAAATATTTGTTGGATTTGATCTTGCCCGTCCTTGCCTCATCTGTTTTTAAAACTTTTCATTTATTTCAATATTCATGTTCAATCCATGTATTTTGAATGTGCTTTTTCGATAAAACATACTTTCGCCTTACTATCTGTTATTTATAGCTTATTGTTGGCTAGTTATTTTTAATACGGAGCGCAAGACTTGACGAATCTTAAAAAGGGAACGCAGATTAAAAAGTTTGAGAATCACTGTTCTAGAGAGAATGTTACTTTTGTGCCAAGTGTCCTGGATTACTGAATCTTTGTATAGAATCAAACAAAAAACAAAAGTTCAAGTGTTGAATCAATTTTCTTCTTTCATAAAAGTGATTAAGAAATTTGTAGGTTTGTTCTTTTCAAGTCACTCTGTATGAGGAATTTAAAAATCAAAGAAACACAAGGCAACATTTTAGAATACCACCTATTACCTAAGACTATCTATATTAAAAACAATTTCATAAAAATTCAATTCTAAGCCAAATGTTAGATACCTAAATTATTAACATAACATTTTAGTGATTAGTATACCTGATATTATAACCGAAACCCTTCTATTCGATTATTTGTATACAAAATACAAAAGAGCATTTTAATTTACGTGGGAGATTACATTATTCCTCTTTTCCATATGTATACTGTTAATTACTCACAACTTGCTGTTTCTCAAGTTCAAAATCATGTTCGACCAATTTATTTTCAGATTCCATCTCCAAATTTTTATCGTCTTTTTCTGAAAATAATTCCACTGTAGGAGAATCTGATTGGTCAATGGGTCGAATTGATGGATGAATTCCTTCCGCATTAATTACAAATCTTTTCAACATGTCCTGAAATACAAATTGTAGTGTTTTTAATCTGACTTTACATATTGACAGCTAAAGTCAATTTAATTGCTTAAGTTTGTTCGAAGCATTTAGCTAACTCAGCTACAAAGTAAGCAAACAAACTATAAAAACAGTGGGTAATTCCTTTGGTTGCAATGACTGCCCTATGATAAGAATTTTTGTGTTATAGGAATAGGATAGGTATGAATTTCACAATAGAAAGTAATGGCATAATCATATGACAAACCGTCATCCGCTTACCAGTCCATGTCGAGTATGAGAATAGTTAACCAGTTATTTGTTTCAGATGCATGGACTTGATGGTGGAGAAAGCTATAACCGATAAGCAGTTATGTGAATGTGAACCACCCTACACTCTTACAGCTGTTGGTCCCGAAATCCTTTCACACATAATTATCCCCACAGGATTCGAACCTGCAAACTCATGTGAGGTAATTAGATTCCTGATGCTTAGCAAGATGCACCAACCCCATATTACGAGAATATCGGTCAGAGAGCGAAGACTTATCGATTGAAAGTTAGGAGATCCCCCAAAACAGCGCTCTTACCCCATAGTGACACCTTGTGTCCCATAACTAATTAATTAATAACTCGCTAATTATATGACATAATACATCCAAAATCAATAGGCTTCTGGTCCGACATATGATGAATGCACATGCAAAATCTGGCGCAGATTAAATCTCGCTTTCGCGGGATATCGCGTGCATCTAACAGACAGACAAACAGACAAATACCTATCAACATACTTACCGATTAAAATCGATAAGTAATAAAAAAAAACATCATACAATGTAGAGAAAAATTAATATTAATAAAATTAAATTTGAATGAATATTCTATCTACCTTGGAAACATTATCTTCAACTTGAAGTTCGTTTAAATCATTAGAAGAATCATGAATAATAGTTATAATATGAGGTCCAGAATCAGGAATTGATTCCATTAAATGTGACATGCCAGTTTCATCCATATCCTTGTCTTCTTGATTGCAATTTTCTTCCGCCTTGATCATACAGAATATAAATACAAAATCTAATTCATCATGACCTTGTCCACAATGTGTAGCAGGATCAAATATATGTAACATTTATTATTCAATCAGACTTAAAAAGGATCCAAAAATTTAATAACTACTAAATTTAGCGGTTTTAGTAGACTGCATTCATATAAAAATGAAATATATAGATGAAAACACTGATCAGTTCGATAGAACATCAAAGTATATGGATTTGGGAGGACTGATTGAAAATTATTCCCATACTGATACATTAACAACTGGACGAGTGAAATTCTTCGTGGTAGAAATGGGTTAGTTTTCAACATCACAAAAAGATTTACAAATCATAACATTAAGTTAGTTAACATTTTTATTATCGATACTTACTTGAGTGCAAACAATATCAACATCCTGATTGGATGCATCAATTAAAGAATGAGCGGTGTCGTATATTAAATTGTCTTCTGCTTTCGATTCTGAAGATGAATTTGCAAACAGATGAAGAGGAACTTCCAATGACGGTCTTGCCGGATCCTCTAACAAAATAAAGAAGAAAAGAAGAATCCTAAATGGACTTGCTTTGTAATTACTAAAATGAGCTTAAAGATATTTAAGCACTTTTTGATCCAAATACAAGATCACTGAAACCAGAATATTTTTCTTTTCAAATCCAAAATTCTTGCTAATAAAAAAATTAATTACAAGCAATTTCATATTTTCGTATGATGGTTGTTTACTTTACTTCAAATTTAATAGGTAAAATATCCAAAATTAAATATTTTTAAAAATATTAGTTGAATTTAATGATGGCTGACATAGTTGAAACGGAGATGAAAAAACATTATTAATATCATTTTAACAATTCATAGTTTGGGTTGGATATTGTAAGTAAAGTTTCGAATAGGGTCAAAATATTCTAAATATTTAATGTAGTTTCATCACTATTTCCATGGATAGGGGGGGGGGGGGGAACAAAAATAATCCATGGTGAGTTGCATGTGGCCCACAGTTTATATTTCTGCCCATCCCAGGACTAGAAAATATTACATCAGGTGAAATGATTCACTACAGCTCATTGAACTTCGTTATTTAGCTAAGCCGAAATCATATAGTACCTTCCGGTAATAGATAAATAGACTCTGCTCACCTTCAGATTGATAGAGAGTTAATTCTTCAATTCTTTCTCTTTCATCATTTTCATTGATTTCTTCAATCGTGAGACTACAAGCAGTATCATTTAATGAGTTCTCGTGACCAAGATTTGACTTATTATCCATTTTATAAATTGAAATTAATTAGGAAACTAAAATGAGACACATTGTTGGCATTTTAATTATTTGAACATCAATAATCTTATATATTCTGATCATTTCAGTTTTCAATAGTTTAAAAAACAAGTACCGTAATTTAATGATGAACCATTAATATGACGTTTCTTATTATTAACAACATTTTTCAGTAACTAAATATAATAGAGAAATTACACTTCAAGTTGAATATGCATAAAAAAGAAATTGTTGAAAAATGAAGAATTATGTATTGCTAGACTTATATTCAAATTATATTTTATCACTTAATTTTTTCAGACTTTCTTGACAGTGGAAACTGTTTTCCAAGAATGCTATCATACACAGTGATAAATGATATAAAAAAGAATAAAAGTCCTCGGAATGGATTGAAATATTGTGTTGATAATGTATAATGATACTTCACAGTAGAGAAATGGGTTATCTGACCTAAGAATATAATCATTGCGTAAAGTGTAATTGCGGAATGTGTAAAATATATAATCCACATAAATAAATGCACATCAAAGAGTTAGGGGATGTAACTGCAAAATGACTAAAAAATAGAACTCATAAATTTTCTACCGTAATTGCCTCTACAAAAATGAAGAAAAATTATTTAACACTTGAACTTCTGTTTAGGCATGATTCACCCAAGTTTCAATAATCTGGGACGCTTTGCATAAAAATTATGTTCTCTGATAAATGTTCCAAATGATCTGGGTTCTTTTTTATTTTGGTGGTGGAGGGAGTAATATATGAAGATCAGAAATATTTAGCCAGTTTCACGAAGATGGCTCAGGATTGCTGATACATTGGGCCGATCGGCTGACGTCTTACTTCTGTGTATCATTGAAAGTTTCCATCCGGTGTTATCATGATTTGAAAAAATGAAATCTCCTCCCATCTGATGAGGATCGTCTTTAACATCCTTGTATGTAGCAATGAGTTCTGCACCTTTTGCCATTTCAATCCCATAATGAATAAGAGGAGCAATGCTCCATACTTTAAAAAACGATCTTTCTAGATGAAAAGCAGAATACAGTGAACGATTTTCATCAGTATATAAATCAAATATTGCACCAGTATCATTTTTCCATCTGGTAGCACCTATTTGAGAACCAAATGAAATTAAAACTACTTTGCACTTTAGATCTTGCAGCTCTTTCTGATGTTTCTGCAGTTCCGCAACGTGCTGACGTCACGGAAGTCAAGCAAAATGACGTAATAGGATTAATAAAAAACTTGTAAAATGTCCATCCTCACAAAACTTGTCAACTGAACTCACAGAATGATCACCAAGAACTTGCTTTACATTGAAATTGCTGGTAATATTGTCACCAATGGTTAACAGCTTTGATGAAGTAGTTTTCTTCAAAATTTCTTTTTCCAGCAACAGAATGAACTCATCCCATGATTGCTCAAATTGAAGATAATCTTCCACAATTTCACGTAAATCACAATGATTATGATATTTTTCCAGGATTTCATCCATCTGTTTTCTTTCTGTAATATGCAACTCCTTCATCAAGTCTTTATACATATTCATAAGGCCACACAAAGATCCAAGTTTTGATTCAGTAAATGAATGTACACCAATTTCAGACAGAACATCTGTGGATTGTCTTAATAATTCATTTGCACGAGATAGAAAATTATTCAATGCTCCTGCAATTCTTTCAGACTGATCCATGCTATATTGCAGTATTGTTTGACTATTTCTACTATAGATTATGTCTACACCATTTTATTGTCAAAATATCTGATAATATATATACAGATATAAGCATAAAGTAATATTAAAAAGTATAGTGAGGACGGCATGTCAATGTCTCTGAGATGATGTCGAAGTCATCTGCTGTCTGGGATAAGCAGGGAAAAAAGTTTATGAAACAGTTGAAGTACCAAGAAACATTCCTCTGATTTCCGAAAACGGCGGTAAACTAGGGGCTGTAATGAAGCCTCGACAACGTATCAACAATGGTGTTTGAATAATATTGATTAAAGAAGTTTAGAAACCAGTCAACGAGTCTGACGAGTTGCTATTTGATATTGTCAAACCTAATATCAGTTTTAAAAATTGAAGAAATGATGGATGATGTTCAACGTATCACATAATCTGCTTCAGGATAGGATAGGATTTACATATTTATCCCGGGGGAAAGGAAAGCCGATAAGACGGCTTAATCATATGGCGAACCACAGCCTCTGATCCAATTACCAGTCTAGGTCGGGTATGGGATTAGTTAGCCATTTTTTTTTTTTCGAAAGCATGGACTTGATGGCGGTTACGTGAACCACCCAACGACGGCGAGGAGTCCAGCAATCCTCTCGCACATAACCATCCCTGCATGGGATTCGAACCTGCGAACCCACGCAGAGTGATTAGAGGTGCGGTGGCGAGCGCATTCCTAACGCTTAGCCCGTTGAGCCACACCGCCGCGCCACTTTTTTTAGGCACTTCGGAAAAAGGGTAAAATGGGGGTGATAACTTTTGAAGATAATGAATTAGTTGAAATAAATCAAATTAAATATTGAACATGCAAATTGCAAAAAGTAAATCCAATGGTAATATCCAATGGTAATACGGGCACGTACTTGTACGTATTTAACTCTTTTATTAAGTTATGCCCGTCCTCCAGGTCCTCTGTATTTTGTTTGTCCCTTTGTTGTTGTTTTGTGTTTTGTTTGTATCAGAGTGACCGAATAAAATTGATTGATTGATTCGAAACGTAGTTTTACAGATAAAACGCACACTCTCGATCACCACCGTTAGTCGTGGATCACCACATATGCTAGGCACTTCGAAAAACATCGGAATTATCACCCATAAAAAAAGACAGAAAGTAAAAATATTGGTCACAATGATAAGCATAGGACCTAGGTGAATATGAATGAATGAATCAGAGCATAGATTTTAAATAACAATTATGTAACATGGTATGTAACATCTATGAATGAATGCACTTGAGTCTAGTAAAGGTAATTGAGAATAATCAATTGTTACCGGTAGGCACTTCGAAAAAAGAGTAAAATGGACGTAATAACTTTTAAAAAAATAATGAATAAATTTTAAATATGCAAGTTGTGACATGTAAACCCAATGATAATAATTAAAACGTAGTTTTATAAGGAGGCGCACGCGCTCGATCAAAAAGTCACCACCCCTGTTGCGACGAGAGGCCGTGGTTCGCCATATAATTGAGCCGTGTCATCGCCTTTTCTCTTCCCCGTGATGGATATGTAAATCCTATCCTAACTACGAGAATTCAGTAAATCAATTCACAAGTCTATTTCGTGCCTAACCAGTGTCAACTCTTTTAAACTTTGCATCGAGCATTTTAAAAAATGTTATGACCGGACGCATGGCGGGTATGATTTCTGAAAAATGGGTAGCTCTCAGTTAAGTGAAAATATTTATTGGTTTTCCCCAAAGCGTATATATAATACGTTTTCCCCAAAGTGACTATAAAGTGTTAACTTATAGTCACTTTGGTTTTCCAAAGAATTATAAAATTATGTTTTTTCATGCTAAATAATTAAAAATAAACTATGTAATTTGTATTACGAAATCAACAAATGAATTATTGGAACTCCCTGGATTATATGGAATATTATATCTGATGGAATTATCTTGATATTACTGGTATATATGTTTGTTCACTTACGGTACACAATATATCTTTATTTATATTGCATTTATTTATTATTTACATATTGAATAATCCACATTGTGGATCCATTTAAAAAAAAAAAAAGAATTTGGTTTTCGTTTGTTTTGTTGCGTGTATCTCGTTCTGCCCGTTATAGTTGTTCGAAACAGCAAAACTGAAATGGAGCTCGAAATTAACTGTGATAAGAACAATAGAATATGGAGAGTTTTCCAGCGACTCGACAGATTAAGAAAAAATAAAGATCGTTGTGACGTTTTAATCAAGGTTGGATCTGATGAAATCCCGGCTCATAAGAATGTGTTGTCTGCTAACTCGGATTATTTTGATACGATGTTTGAGCATGACACGGAAGAAAAAAAATCAGGAATATGTGAATTGAAAGAAATTGATGCATTTTGTGCTAAAAAATGTGTTGACTACATGTACAGCTGTGAAATTGCTGCTCCATTCGAAAAACTCGGTGATTTATTGCATGCTGCCACATTAATGCAACTTGATGAAATTTGTAGCGGAATTGTGGAACTTCTTGTAACAAATCTGAGTATAGAATCAGTATTTGAAACCAGAAAAATTTCCAAAATGTTTAATCTGACAAATGTTAAAGAAATATGCAACCAATTCATTTTGGATAAATTTGAAGAAATCTCAAAGGGTGATGATTTTGGTTTTTTCGATAAAAAGGGAGTTATAAACATGATAAAATTTAAAAAATTGAAAGTTACGGAAGACGTGAAACTTAGGGCTGTATTCAACTGGATTAAATTTGATTACAAACACCGTAAAAAGTTTGCAGGCGATCTAATTGCTTTGGTTGATTTATCCAAATTATCTCTTGGGTATCGAAGATATGTCATTGCCAATGAAGATATTGTCAGAAAAAATGCTGATCGTCAGTTCAAATTCAGCATGTCTGTGATGGATTCCATGAATATTACGCCATCGAGTGTTGCTGAAAGTGCGAGTGAAAAGGGTATTGTCGTTTTTAATAAAAAATCTGGCTACCTGCATTGTTATAATCCTGAAAACAACTCGTGGGTTCAAATGCAACAAATGAACGAAGACATGGAGGATGAAAATTTTTCTGCTGTTGCTGTTGACGACTTCATTTATGTTATGATGGAAAACAAGGCTTTTTACAGGCTTAAGTATAATGATGAAGATGCCTCCTGGGAGAATATGGCTGATATGCTTGTAGAGCATGGCGAGTATCCTCCAGCTGTTGTTTCGAATAACAACATTTATGTCATCGGGACTTCTTCTCCATACAACGATACCAACGCTGTTGAGAAGTATGATCCCAGTTTAAACATATGGACAAGATTAAGAAATATCTCACAACCCTTGTATCGACCAGGATTATTAGTTTTTCAAAATAAGATTTATTGTTTTGGTGGCTACTCCTCTGGACAGTTACTAAATATAGTCGATCAGTTTGATGCCGAAGCTGATGTTTGGAAAATAGTCAGTCATATGCCTGATGCAAAATCAGATGCTGCTGTTGTTACAGTTGGTGAAAGCATTTATATTCTTGGTGGACTTGTCGATGACTCCGAATCCACTACAGCAGTTCAACGATTTGATCCAATAAGTAATCACTGGCAATCTTTAAATCCAATGCTTACCAGCCGATGTTCATTTAATGCTTTTGTAATTCAGGATTTCATTTATGCAGTTGGGGGATGTGGATATTGTAACAGCTTAGAGAAATACAACATTGCAGAGAACAAATGGGAGATGATCGAGAAACCAGAAAAAATGGAATTGGAAATTTCCGAGTCAGTAGTAATCCAAGGTTTTCACCATTATTCAATGATTAATTAACTTTCAATACAATAATATTATCCAATTTGTTTAATTGTTCGAATAAATATTGGTTATTTTGTGACATTCAGATAATTTATTTTCGTCATGCATGAAACGTTGTAAACACAAATAATAATAACTCAAGTCAAAAGAAAAAAACAGACACACAATGTTTCGACGGCAATTGACAGGAGCCTCGAAATACTATCAAATCAGCGACACCATAAATGCTAAGTTCAGCTGCAGATGACCTAAAAAAACATCAAATAATTTAACTATGGGTAGATTTAAGGGTGCTCCCGAAGTATGTGCACCAAGATGGCACACAACCTGAACCCTAACCTGGTACACATCTATGTTCAAGTTGTGCGTCATCTTGGTGCACATACCTCTGGAGGTCCGATTTCAGTACGTTCAGACATAACATGGAAACTCCCAAAATGTGTTCTTCAAACAATTTTAATTCCAATTTAATCTCAATGAATTTCTTCTTCATATACATTCTTATTGAATAGAACTTGTATAAATTTCATTGGTAAACTGTGCAGTGCTCAAAATGAGAGCAAAGTCTTGCTTATCCCGTTTTAGTTTCAGTATGATTGACTAAGACTGTTCCTGAAGAGTTCAATTTACCTATGAGGCATTTATCAGAATTATTTGTTTTTTAAATGAATTTCTTCTGCAATTTTTTTATTTAACTCATCACTGTATTTTGATATAATATGCAGTATCTTATGTAAATCAGCAGTCTTTTTTACTGTACTGTATTTTCGTTGATAATCTATCTGCTTATTGGACACGTAGTGGACATAACGATCGTTTCAATATTATGTTGTTGTTGTTGTTCTTTGACACGTTTTTAAAAAGTCGCTTTTCTCTTCGAATACTGGACCAATTGCTTTGAAATTTTCAGTGGTTAAGATAAAAAATTTCTCCAGAAGGCCATTACTTTTTTTCCGCTATGACGTCATCAAAATTATGTGACTCTACGTGTCCATATATTTGAGCATAGCTCTCTTGTCTTCAATTGGATTCTCATGGTTCAGTATAGCAGTGAGCCCACGTGGCCCACCTGAGGATGTTTCTGTGGTGCAGCATGGCTCGCTGCTATACTGAACCATGAGAATCCAGTAAACTTTGATTGAAGAAGCAATGAATGATGAGGTTGTTTTTGCTAATGAGTGGTAATTCTCATTTTAAATATTTTAGTGGAAGTGTCTATGAAAGTGATCTAAGGTTGAGAAACACTGGTTTTGTAACATGGGGAATCACAGGGTTTTGACTCACCAAAAATGCTTTTTAATAATGAGCACAGTATCTAATATTTATGAGCCATTTTCCAACGAACAATTCCCGGCTTAGAAAGTCTTATCATAGTAGACTAGGCACAAATATAAATGTAATTTATCTTTGTGCGCAGTACCGGTACCGTATTCCTAGTAAAGTTAATGCCGTAAGTCACGCTCCAGTGATAATTATTTTTGGAAGTAATTTAACTTTAGCGCAATATTTCCAGTTAATTATGTTTTTGCTTGTGTTTTCATCATTCTAATGTCTTAGGTTTATGTATTTAATTCACTGTGCAATACTTTTTAGTCAGCAGTGTCTTTTTTTCTATTGAACGATTATATCCTCTTTGATAAGCTGACCTTGGTAACCTTAGTTCAGCACTGGTCTACTTGAGCTTTTTTCAAAACTATACACTATGTGGGATCGGAACCAGTGATGAGCTGGAAAAATCGTAACAACCGGAACGCACCTAATTCGCAAAAATGTAATATATTACAACACGACGCGGACAGAATGTTTTGACTGTCTTAAGATAGAGTCGAAGAACTGCAATGAAATATGGAGAAATTATCTGAAATATGTCTGTGTAGAATTACAAGAATATTTATAGCAAATCAATACAAATGTTATTTTTGGAAAGGTATAAAATGAATTTCCATGGAATCAAAGGTCGGGGAAATATCTATTACACGTTACTTTTTGCGCGATGTGATGATGTAAAAAGAATTACGAAATATAATGTAACAAAACATAAATTAATAACTACATTAACCAGAGAAACTAGACTTCTTGTACCATAATTTTATTTTAACAACAGGAACGCAAATGCAATAAAATGTCCAACAACCGGAACGCCGTTCCGGTGCGTTCCGGCTACAGCTCACCACTGATCGGAACCTGCGAAGTGCGAACTCATCCGGGGTAATCAAAGGTGCGATGGCGAGCGTATTCCTAATACCTAGCACAATGTGCCACACCGCAGAGCCCCGTGCATTTATTATAGCAGGGTTTCCCAAACTGGTGACTGCACAGAGGGTCCGCAGCGATGTGAACATAGTCTGATCGATATTTAATGTTTGAATTTAACAAAAAAAGGGTCTTTTCGGTTTTGCTGTCAGAAAAGACAATTAGAACTTCATTGCCTTTTGCAATGATGTACATAGGTGAGGCAGCATTTTCAGCTCCTACATGATATATTAACAAAATATAGGACCTCGGACCCTACGAGAAAACTTGTCACAAATTGCTCCGAAGATTGATAAATTGTGCAGTAAAAAGCAACCTCATCCATCACAAATGAAACATTAACATTCCTCGTTGCTCAGGCACAGAAGTTGATCCATCAAAAATAAAATTCACAAACAGGGGTCCGCGGCTCAAAAATTTTGAGAAACCCCGTATTACAGGATCCGATGTGTAACATTTGTGACCAAGAGCAGAACCAGTCCAACTTTTTTGTGGGGTTACAGGGGTTTACAACACATTATACCACACATTTCATCTAAAATCAATAGGATTCTGGTCCGAGATATGATGAATGCACATGCAAAATTTGGAGGAGATTCAACATCGCTTTCGTGAGATATCGCGTTCGTCTAACAGACAAATACCAGTCAACATACTTACCGATCTTAAGATCAACAAGTAATAACCTCTAAAACCGGTCTGATTAAAAAATACTGCATACTACGATAACCGATAATATGCATTTTCAAAACAGTGGTCAGCTTGTTAAAAGTGAATACAGTACGTGCGAGACATGAGGCCATTTATATATTTTTGGAGCAACTGTTGAGACAGCTCGTTGACGTTGGAGCTAGTGCTTCAAAGCCGGCCGGATTTTCATGATTTTTCCGCTACTGTTTTTAGCGAATTCGAACACCACTAGTTGGAGCAAGCACATCCTTCCCGAGAAAATTCGAGAATTTCATCAGCTCCTAGATGGAACAGTGTAAAACGCATGGATTTAAACGTTCGGCATGGTGTTAACAAGCGTCATAATACCATTTCAAACAACATCTCCTTTGCTCCTTAGAGATCTGCAGTTTTTGCTTCTCCTGCTTTTCAAATTTTTATACAATCGAACGGTAACAACACTGTATATTTTAGTTAGACAAATTTTGAGGCTAGACGCAATGCGTATATTCGCTTGTATGTCGCTGGCCGATGTAAACGTATGACCTTAAGGAAATGACGTTACACACTTGTGAGGAAAAGCGATAGAATATATATGTGTTTTTCGCACGAAACGTAAAGCTGCTATGTGGCGACGTAATTGCGTCATGTCACTGCGTAACGAAGTAATTGCCGTTGTTTACGTCTAGTTGGCGCAGAAAATATAAAAGAAGTTCAGGTTCAGGCATTCGCGGCCGTTTTTTCTCTCTCTCGTTACGAAGGTGTGACGTAACCCCATAAATCGCATCATTCGAATTTTACTGCGTTGGAAGTCAGTTACTAAAGTTTACTAAACTATCAACTTGTAGAAAATCAACTTATCGAACATGATCAATTTGTAAATGTATTGTGAACCGCATAATTTGTACCAAGTAGACAGACGGAATCTAACCACATGATGTGTCGGCCTACAAAGATTAGATAATTTACATACCAGCGGCATACTACGTTTGATTGTAGATATGCGACTTTGCCGAATATATCAAAAACAAACACGAACCGTTTTATTACAATTAGTCATTCGTATTTGCATTTAGGCGCTTCAACTACGTCGCATCAGTACGGAATCGAACAGGCGGGACACATCTGTAAATAGCGAGATGATACAAAATAGCACTTCCCGTATCATCGCCCATATGAGACTATCGGAAGATTTTAGGTTGAACGTTTTCCCTTTATTTTTCAATATGTATTTGTATGTAGTGGTGATAATTATGGGTCGTTGGGCCTTGTAGTACAATAAGTATCCACTCTTTACTACGTTATTACTTATCGATCTTAAGATCGGTAAGTATGTTGATAGGTATTTGTCTGTCTGTTTGTCTATATATTACTATTGCTATTTATATCAAGTTCGGTTATCATCAAATTTGTATATGACTCATTTGAAGGTCGCAATCTACCAAACGCTATCGTCAAGGCAAGTGGTACTTTTGCCTGTGTCAATTGTACATTTAATTTAACTGATGATTTGGTTTGCATTCGTTAATTCCTTCAGGCTAGATGTATCTAAGTGATGAGCGTAAACTGATGACATCACTAGGTTCACCCCTCGTCCGATTAAAGGGAAAGGAAATACGAGAGAGAATAAATGGGAGAGAAGCTCTCTCGTTTTGACCGTGGCACTAAAATGACTAAATGTTAAAATTGAAAACTTGAACTCGGCACGAATAGTGTTCACCCCTACAAATGTGTCGACAATCTATTAGGTTAAAACAAGAAAAAATCGAAGTTTTCATTTATATAATTTGGGAGCTTTTCAGAAATTTTGCATGCTTTTCCATTTTGCCGATTTTTGTACGATAATTGCAACTTTTTATCGTCATTTCAGAATTATAATTGGTCTTATTAATTGTCTTCCAAACGATGTAAATCTTGTCCAAATATAATATAAGGTTCGCGAGATATGAGGTTTCAATATGAGTTGCATACCTCATAAAGGATTCCGAATCTGGAAAACCGGCTTTTAGGATTCAAAGAGTTTTAATTAAAATTAGAATACCTCGTTGGTACTTATGTAACGTTGTCAGCGATATTAGCGGTTTTAGTACAAGTTTTGTGCTTCCTTAGGCTATTTTTAAATACCTGAATGTTTTTACAATATACACGATTTACGTATGTAATTAACGTTCATAAAAATGTCTTTGAATTTTCATGTATAAATATGTCTATCCGCCGAT